CTTTTTTTTTTCCCCTTTTTTTCAAATTTTTCAAAAAAAAAATTTTTGTTTTTGCCCCCAAAAGGGGGGGAAACCCCCCCCGGGTTTTTTGGGGCAAAAAATTTTTTGGGGGGCCCCAGGGTAAAAGGAATTTTTTTGGGTTTTGGGGGGGAAAAAATCGGGGGAATTTTTTCCCAAAATTTTTTTTTTTTGGAAAATTGGGGAAAATTGGCCTTTTTTTTAAAAAAAAAACCCCTTTTGGGGGGAAATTTTTTTTTTCCCCCCCCCCCCCCCCCCCCCCCCCCTTTTTTTTTTGTTTTTTTTTTGACCAATACTGTTTGGAATCTCGGTAGTTGGACAGTCAAAAGATTAGCTTTTAAATGTTCTGTTAAAAGCCAGAGTAAAATCAAATAAATGGTAGTGTAGACTATTGGACCTTGAAAATAAAATTGTGAATGAGATCAAGGGATTTCAAAGTACCATCACCTACCCAGCATTCGTGTCATTCAGTGTCTCAACTGTCTATTTATTTCTCCTTTAAAGTTTCAAGGCTGTGTATAGACTTTGAGATAACAACGTGGTCTATTCAGGACAAACCAAAAAAGAAAAACAAAACATTGAATAACTTTGACAGGCTCTTTGTTCATTTAATTCTTTTATTATTATTATTATTACTATATAAAATTACGAAGAAATCAAAGAAGTTGGTTGATCTGTACGTGTATCTATACACACTTATACTCATATACGCATATTATATATAATACATACATATATATATATATGTGTGTGTGTGTGTGTGTGTGTGGGATGGCAAGTCTTGGATCGGAGCTTTCAAAGATTTGTCATAATCGTTTGTCGCACGCACACCAATGCGGTAAAGAGCACGCAAGAAACAGGAACTTTAGTGGTTCAATAGAGACATCAAGAGAATACAATACGAAAGCTTATTTTATTTTTTATTTTTTATCCACGCTACTATAAATACCTAGTTGGAAATTGCGATATCTCGTACCTTTCTTCCTCTTTTCTTCTTATCTTCTTTGGTATAATCAACAATGTCCGGAGAACCCACTGATGTTGCTGTCCACACTGAAGCATCTGCCTTTGAGGACTTTGTTGCTGGAAAGTAAGTAACGATAAGCTTTATGATTTCATTTATATGCATAGATCCATGTTGTCTGATAAGCCTCTTTGCTTTCTTTTTCCCCTTCACTTACAAACAAACAAACAAATAAATAAATTAAACAATACAAAAGTTTTGGAGGCATGGCAAATGTACTCGTAGGACAGCCATTGGACACAATCAAGGTTCGGTTGCAGTTGGACAATGGACGATTCAAGGGTGCATGGGATTGTACGGTCCAGACTATCAAGAATGAAGGATTTCTTGCACTCTACAAAGGTACGTGATCAAGTCTTTTTGGGCATACATATGTACTAATACAAATATAAATAAAAATAAAAATATTGTACAAAAGGAATGGCTAGTCCGTTGTTTGGTATTGGTGCAGTAAATGCACTGTTGTTTGCAGCAAACTCTTCTATCAAGAAAAATATGCAAGAGTATCCAGGACAAGTATTGTCGATTGGTCAGATTGCTATTGCCGGTGCTGGTGCTGGTAAGATATATGATATTCTTGGTTGAGAGCCTTGCCTTTCCTTGCCTTGCCTTTCCTTGCCTTGCCTTGCCTTGCCTTGCCTTGCCTTGCTTTGTGTTGCTTTGTGTTGGATTTGGAATTGGATTTGGAATTGGATTTGGAATTGGAATTGGATTTGGATTTGGAATTGACATTGGAATTGGAATTGGAATTGACATTGATATTGATATTGATTGTGGAAAAATTAGGTGTTGTAAATAGTGTGTTAGCTTCTCCGGTAGAACTGCTGAAGATCAAGATGCAGGCCCAGTTTGGATCCAAGGCAATTGGAAAAGAGAGATACTTTAGTGGACCTATTGATTGTGCAAAGTATCTTGTGCAGCAGCATGGTGTTGCCAATGGCTTGTTCCGTGGTATGTGGGCCACTGTGCTGCGTGAGATTCCAGCCTATGCTGGGTTCTATGCTGGATTTGAAGCCACGAAGCGTCAGTTGGTTAAAGACCAGGACGAACATGCTAATATTATGCAGCTCATGGCGGCTGGTGCAGTTGGCGGTATCGGATACTGGGTTTGCTGTTACCCCTTGGATGTTATCAAATCAGTTGTAAGTCAACACAACACAAAATATCTTTATATGGAATTATCTGAATATGAATCTCTCTCTCTCTTTTTTTTTACAGGTACAAAATCAAGCCTTGCCACCTACTGGATTCTATGTTACGCGGGTTATGAAGCAAATTGTGGCTAGAGATGGCATCAGTGGTTTATTCCGTGGTATTGCACCCACTATTCTCAGAAGGTAAGAAAAACCAAAATCATATTTCTTCTTATAATATTTATTTATTTATTTTGCACAGTATTCCTGCTGCCGGTGCCACCTTTACTGCATACGAGTTGACCATTAGAGCTTTTCAGTCTGATGGCCTGAAATGGCGTAAAGAAGTCGGAGTTCAGCTGTCAGAATAGGGAGAATGCTGTATTTCTTGGTCTTGAACCTGAATAACCTGGCAATCTCATGGCTCTTTTTTCTTTTCTTTTTCTTTTATACATACATATATCTAACCCTACAAACCAAATTGAAATTATGTACAAACCAACACACCAACACCAACACACACACTATACATAAATACAAATACAAATATATATATTATAAATAAATAGATAAAAGAATATATTATTATTATTGTTATTAAAGAAGAGAAAGAATAAGAAGAAGTCTATGGAAATGACATGTACAAAAGATTGAAATAAGAAAAAAAAATATTGAAAGCTGGTTTTTTTTGTTTGGCTGTCGCTACAGTGGTTTTGCTGTGGTTTGTTTCTAGATTGTTGTAGAAATATAACGAAATATATATATATATTTAAAAGAAGAAGAAGAAGAAGAAGATGGTCTTCTTTATGTGTGTGCGTGTGTTTTTTTTAAAAGAAGTGAAATATCAAAAAAAAAAGTATAGGTAAACAGAGCTTATTAAATAAATAAGAAAAAAAATAAAAACTCTTTTTCTTCTTTATCCTTTTTTTTCTACTCCGAAAAAGCCACTCATATGTATGTATAAGGTGTTGGTTGGCTATGATTGTTGAGAGTTGTTAGACTCGGTACGTGCATGTTCACTAGTGTGGTGCAATGCGGCTGAACACAGCTGTGACAAACGAGCAAATTTAGATCCTTCTTCTTCTTCTGCAGTTTCTGGTGGTGTAGATGTAGTTGAAGATGTGGATGTGCTGGCAACAGGTGTCATTAACTGAGGTTTAATGAATGCCTCTTGATGTTCTTTAACTTCTTGTTGCAAATGAGGACTTGATCTTGGCTGTTGTTGTTGCTGCTGCTGCTGCTGCTGTTGTTGTTGTTGTTGTTGCTGGTGCTGGTGCTGCTGTTGTTGATGCTGTTGATGCTGTTGTTGTTGTTGATGCTGTTGATGATGTTGTTGGTGTTGATAATAGACCTGGGCGGGTTGCTGTGGGCTTGGATTTTGGGGTTGTTGGAAATGGTCTCCATGCATCAATGGGCGAGAGGCCTGAGGAGAATGATGCATGATGCCACTGTAATGCTGCTGTGTCATGGCAGAGTGCTGCTGCTGGTAGGGATGTTGTTGTTGCTGCTGCTGCTGTTGTTGTTGTTGTTGTCCGTTGGCACCATCTGTCTGGCCTGGGACCAACATAGGGTAGCCCATAGGGGGATAGACAGGGTTGACGACATAAGATTGTTGCATCATCTGTTCCTTGTGGTAAACAGCAGCGTATTGACCATAGGGATCGTAAGCTGGCTGACCATACTGGTTAAGATTGCTGGGGTAGCCAAAGGGCAATGGGGCAGCGCGCATTGCGGCTGGGGCGTACTGTCCTTGCTGCTGTTGTGTTTCGTTCATCCCTTCGTGTTTACGCGCTCCAGGCTTTTCTTCTGGGTGACAATAAAATAAATAAATAAATAAATTGAGTTAATATGACATGACATGACATGATTGAAAAAAAATCAGATAGCACCAACACCACCAACGACAACAACTTCTTTACTCTCTTTCTTACTAATATTACCTCTTCTAATCTATTTGATTTGATCTTTTATATATATATATATATATATTATCTACTAATATTTTGTTTTATCTGGTTTACTAACCTGGCTTCTGTCTGCGCTTATAAGGACCGCGCTTAATTCCCTTTTTACGCTCCTTTCGCACCGAGTTGACACAAGTATCGGCAATGCCATACTTTACACAACGAGGACAGGGTCTGGCATCATCGCACTTTTTACACGCCTTTTGACAGTTTGCTATAAAGTACAATTTATTATTATTATTTTAAAAAAATATATATTAATTTTTAATTTTTAATTTTTGATTAATTTTTTTTTTATTTATTTTTTTAGAACCAAGCCATAATAAGATGGTGGTAAAAGAAGTTTTTACTTACTGCAGGCGTTCTTGACTTGTTTTCTCTTTTGGGCTTGGGACTGACCAACTACTGAGGATCCTGGTTGTTCTGGAAGTCCTGGGTGAAGAGGAGGAAGACCTGTTGGGTGGCCAAGGATCGGAGCATTGTTCATTACAGAGGTGGCTGGTGAGCCAGCTGCTGGATAGGGAGAGGCGGTTTGATAGCCTTGCTGGTAGTATGGCATTGACTGCATTGGATAAGCTTTTTATTTTTTTATTTTATTTTTATTTATTTTTTCGTTTGCTATTGAAGCGGAGCAAGATGTTAATGGAGGGACTTTGTTTTCTTTTGACTTCTTCTAAAGCAAGTACAAAACTATATTACAGTCTATAGATAGATAGATAGATATATAGATATATAGATAGATAGAGGTATAAAGATTTGTTGTGTGTTGTGTGTTGTGTATTGTGTGTGTGTATGATGACAAGAGCTTCTTTAGAAAATAAGGTGTGTGTATGTACAATAGAGAAAGAGAGAAAGAGAGAAGAAAGGAAGGAAGTTCAAAACAAGAAGTAAAAGAATGTGAGAGAAATGGAAGAAGTGACTTACCAATGAAAAGAGAGTAAAAATAGAACGATCTTCTTCTTTTTTTTTGCGTATATATATATTTATATATTACACTAGTACAAGTATAAAAAATTAAAAATAAAGAATCAAATTACACTAATATTCAATGGAATATAAAGAGGAAGAAGAAGAAGAAGAGGAAGAGGAAGAAGAAGAAGAAGAAGAAATATAAATATTATACCTATTATTACTATTAATTTAAGAAAATTATATAGTAAGGTGAAAGAGAGGAAAAGCGAAAGAAAGAGAGAAAATCAAGATTCAAGTCCGTGGATCGGATTGAGACAGGGTTACAAAAAAAAAGAATACCAAAAAGCGTAAATAACTTGTATTGGACAGCGGCGCTATAGACGGAGTTAAATTACCTTTATATTTTCTAAACCAACGAAATAAAATGAATTTTCTGGATCCAATAAGGAATTCGATAAATGCAAATCAGAGTCTACTATGAGTCGTGAATTTTTGAAACAGAAGTCAGGACCATAAATGGCAACGAGAAGGCCAATAAATATAACAATAAAAGAAAGAATTAAAAGCAGAATAGAAGAAGAGGCCAAAGAAGAAGAAGAAGAACAGAAGGATTAAGTGAAAATGAGAAAGACAAAATAAGAGGCGGAATAATATACGGAAAAAGAATTATTACAATACAACAAATATATATATATATTTATATAATATAACAAAATATTATAATTTTATATATATATATTTATATATTTATATACTTATATATAATAAAATGATCCTGTATATATTTAAAATAAAATTAGATATATAAAAATATAATACAAGTCTATCAAATATATATATTTGTATTATAAATTCTAGAAATCATATATATGTGTATATATAATTTTAAAAAAAAAGAAAAACTTCTATACTCTTCCATTAAAATTCTTTAGATACAAAATGGTGGTCAGTCTATAGATTGAATTCTATAGCTACTGTAGGCAGTAAAGAGTAAAATGTATAATAAAGAATAGTCAATTCAGTCAATTGAAATAATAATAATAATAATAAAAAAAAAACTGTAAAAGATAACAAGCAGTCGACGGAAATACGATTCGTTCATCTGAGTAGGAACGTGGCCATAAGACTTAATAGCTCACCAGATTATTATTGGTGCGGATACAAGGCGGACTGCAAATAAGCACGCCATCTCCCCGACAAAGCGCGTGGGACCTTGCCCAGGAGCCGATTGCCGGCTACCAAACCCATCACTTATATACACATATGGACATTATATATGTGTATATATAACATTTATATATACAATAAATAAATAAATAAATAAATATATATATTTTGTTTATTTACCAAATACTATTAGTCCGCGGTTAATAGTCAATTTCATACCACGTCATCCTCCTCTCTATTTCATTTCATTTCATTTGAGTGAATGAAAGAATAGCGTTTACACAGCCATTGAATGGATAATGTATTAAAATATCATTATGATATTTGTACTCACAAAAAAATGCATTATACATTACGTTACATTACATAGCATTACATTACATTACATGACATTATCTTATAGTAAATTATAGTAAATTATAGTGCTTTATAGTACTTTATTCAAATCTTCATCATCTTCACCATCGTTATTTTTTATAAAAGAAAATGTGACTAGTTATCAAAATCACAATCACAATCACAATCACAATCGCTTTCTCTCTCTATCTCTATTTGTCTATTTTTTGGTCTCTCTTTCTCTCTTGCCTTCTTTCTTAATTTCTCTCTTGGTTCAATTTGTGCCTACAAAAAAGGTTCCTTCTCCTGCTTTAATTTTTTTTTGGTAACCTGTTGAATTGTACTCGAATATCAAAGCTCATTTTACTGCACCGCTTTCACTTGTCATTTTCATGCCGCTTCAAGTATGGAGATCTTCTCCCCCGCTTTCCTGTAACTCGGGCCAGTATACAAGATCTTTCCTTTGGTCCGGCGCTTCATTCACAAGAAGCGGCGATGCATTTACCACACTCTATCCTTTGGTTTAAAGCCTAAAAACCAGTAGAAAACAGGGCCAAACCGTCAAACAAACGACCAGAAGAGTGGTTGGACGGTCAGTAATGAATTTGGCCAGCTTATCTAGTCATTTTAGATGGCCATATCTCTCTCTAATTGTCATGAACAAGGTTGGTGTGATGTTGTACATTTCTGACAGTATCCATGTACAATATTTATCAACTCTATATTGGTTGGTCAAAAAGATATATTTCACAGCACCATCAGAATCGCAAAGATGATAGTTCGATAGTACAAAAGAATATTGTCTGGAGCAATTCAAATTTTGCTTGAAAAATTAAAAAATTAAATAAAAATTAAATAAAAATAAAAATAAAAATAAATCCAAAATATACAATTTGTAAATTCTTGTCCTTATCTAGCAGACATATTGTACTTTGGAATGAGTGTTTTGTAAGTCAAGGCTTATCAAAACAATTTCAAAATCTACATAAACCTATCATTAATCACTATGGATACATACATACATACATACATGTATATATATATAAAGGAGAACTTTATTTTATTTTATTATGAGTATTGAAAGGTAAATAAGGGGAAGCTCAAAAGTAAGAAAGCAAAACTAGGCACCACGAGTTCTTGCATGATTATTATGTTTTCAGTACCAATCCCAAGTCTCTTGATGACAAGAGTGCAAAAATATATATATATTTAAATTTAAATTTAAATGTAAAGATAAAGATAGAAATCTTGTTTCAATTTTAAAAATATATCTACTGTTTCAATTTTTATTTTATATTCTTGCACAACTAAAACAAGATTATATTGTGCTACTCAAATTCAAAACCATAATCACTCTTACCTGGTCACCAACGGAGCACCTCTTCCGCCCCTGACTTGTAAATTACAAAGATTATTCAATAATTCCAGTGATTTACAAGATATAGGACGTGTTTGTAATAATTATATATATCTATATATACATTTTCATTTAATACATTTATTCTATATACCCCCCCACTTCACTCTAATACACTTTGCTTCACATACCCCCCTCTTCTACTTTACCACAACAACCACCACTACCACTGCCACTACCACTGCCACTGCCACTGCCACTATTACCACTATTACCACTATTACCATCTCTCCTTCTTCTCCCTTCTCCTTCAAGGTACCATATATACATAAAAAGTATATTATATGTATGTACATGTATAGACACACTTACTTATCTTATTTATTTATGTATTCAATTTTCTTTTGGTATTTTAAAAATAGACCTCTATTAAAAAAATATAACACGAGCAAGAAGAATAAATTATTCCATTCTTTCCTTCTCTTTCTCTTTCTCTTTCTCTTTCTTTTTCCTTTTCTTCTTCTATTCTTGTAGTTCCTCGACCCGTACACCAATTAGGTTAAATCCCAAATAGCTAAATAATAAATAAATTTATACATACAATAAACGTATATCTAAATAACTGACATGTACGTGTCAAAGGCAATCGTAAGGTTACCAAAGAAACGTCAAGATTCGATTGAAGAAAATATGAATTCCATATACTCCATGCCAACCACCCACCCGTCAATTAATTCCATTCACCGTTCGAATCCTTACTACGAAAATCAGTACCTGGTGTCAGATACACTCTATATCCACCGTATACACTCTGTGATTTCCAAGGCAGAAATATACGAGCTATTCAAAGGATGTGAACTCACAGAGTAATATAAATAATGTACTCATTCCTAAATCAAAACCTATTTTTAAACACTCTCTTAAATCAATCTTAGGGTCCAGTTGAATCATCATTATACAGACCACACTTCAGGACATCTGCGCTTTCCCAACAGAGACAAAGGTACATCACCTTTATACTTATCCAACAATTTATATTAATACAGCTATGGACTGTAGCTGACCGAGCATACACAATGTTTAACGGTGCGATCCTAAGGAGTGGGTCTTTTCTCCAACTCCTAATCTATTCACCCGAGAGTAACAGACCAGAGCCTAAACCATCGGCTGGGATCCTATACGTCAAAGATCTACCGCCTCAGACTAACAACGTATCTCTTTATGACATTTTTCGACCTTTTGGTCCAATGAACATATGCAAGATTCTTGTCGAGCAAGGGCATGAGCTCAAAGGCACTGCATTGCTTTTATACTTTAAATCAGAAGATGCAGCACATGCAGAACAAACCATGGTAAACCACACACACACACACACACACATGTGTATCTATTTATTTAGCTCAAATCCAAAAAATACATTATATCTCTATCTCATATCTGTAGAACAACACACCTATCCTAGGGTCAACCATGTAAGCTACTTTTTTCTTAGTAGAATCTCAACATAAATCTCATCGACTCTGTAGAACAGTTATACCATATATCTCACAGCAAAAATCCCAACCAGCTGCCTATGAGGTGCATAATACCTCATCCAATCAACAACGAACAGACACAACAGGAACAGGAACAGGAACAGGAACAGGAACAGGAACAGGAACAGGAACAGGAACAGGTTCAGGAACAGGTTCAGGAACAGGTTCAGTAAGTACGCATCTAATTATCTAAGTATATACATATATTGTTATTTATATTATATGTATGTGCTCATCACACTCTTGTGCTCCTTATAAATATAAATACAATAATAATAATGATAATAATAATAATAAAAATAATAAAATATATATTTATAGCAAGTATTGAGAAACATTAGTCCACCAAACGGTCTTCAAATACAGGCACCAGCCCAGGTAGACTTTACAAATCTCTACATCAAAAACCTTGACCTCGATGTCAGCAGCACAGACTTGTTCACCAATTTCCGCAAATTCGGCCACATCGTCTCTGCACGAGTCATGAAGGACAAGAACGGGGAACTAGAAAAGTCAAAGGGGTTTGGGTTCGTCAGCTTTTTAAACCCGGGTGACGCCCAGCGTGCGATGCAGGAAATGAACAACAAGTACATCATGTCCAAGCCAATAGTTGTAGCCTTTCACGAACCAAAAAAGACAAGAACCGATCGTCCTCCACAGCAACAGACTAACAGCAGCTTCAACTCCACCCTTTCTCCTCTTACTCCTCTTCATCCTCAACAGATTCACCCTCACCCTCACACTCATCCTTCTCACTCTCCAACCCCAAACAATTCCGGCATACAAACCTCTTACCCTCAGTCTTTGACTAACGCCACTTCTGATAATTCAAGCCAACAACACCAAATCAAAATCACTGACAATTCACCACTTGATACCTCTCGCCGATTCTCTTCTCGAGGAAGCTACGTCCCGGCCCTGACCCATTCTCCCGCTAACCTTTCTTCATTTCCATCAACACCAGACTACATACCTGCAAAATTTTTAGCATCATCTCAACTAGATCGTAGCCCCCAAGCGCAGTCTCAGTTTACAGCCAACGGGTTCTTTAACAGTTACAACAACGTCACCAGTGGTCTGACAGCAAATTACCAACAAAATCTGCAAACAGTTTCAGCTGAAAAGGTACATGTTTGATTGAACCTGTGTATCTTTGTTTATTTATACATGATTTCTGTAGGATTACATGATTAGTGGATACCCAAAGACAGCTCGTAAACATAGTCAGATCTCAATAACATCTCCGTCTGTCAATAAAGCTATAAGAGCCACGACTATTCCGATTACCTCCCCTATGGTTACCAATTTAAACACAATCTCTCGTACCTCCAAGCACTCTTTTACTCAACCGATACCCGTCAAGGCCTCCAAAGTAGGAGGCATGGGAGGAAGAGGCGGCGGTGGCGGTGGTGGTGGTGGATTTGGAAAACCCCCGAATACCCCTAAGCTTGCCACCCTTTCGCTCCCAACAACCTCCAAAACCGCCCTAAACGGACTCACCCTTCGACGGCGTGACTCTGTCGAATCGGTCTCTAGCGCAATGACAGTTTCGACATCTACCATTCAACGCGTCAAGATGGCACGCGCTGTGTCAAAGTGCGGAGAGAGCCGACATGTGGACGATATTGTCGACCTTTTGCTAACCCTGAAAATAAAAGAACGAACCTTATGTCTGTTCAACAAAGATTTTCTGCGTGGCAGAATTGAAGAAGCAAAGTCCGCACTCGAGGTATTCTTGGAAGAAGACGAGGTTGTTACACCTGTGGAGCAAGACGACCGTAGCTGCTGTCACTCCATCGTCCCACTTTATTCCCAAAACTATCCGTATCAACCTCAATTGGCGCATCATAATCAATCTCCGTACCAACACCAATCATATCAACAGGGCACATTGTATCAACCAGAGAAAGCAACAAAAACGGCCGGAAGGTATGCCGCTGCCGGCACCACTACTGTCACCAACGGCACCTCTAATGCCACTAGAAATGGACCGAATAATGCAAATCCCACCACTCAATGGAATCAACCCTCTGTTTTTCATATGCCCTTACCTTACACCCCCAAATCTCTCATGTTCTCGGGAGACTTTCCGACAACGATCAATACCACGTTGTTGGGTGACCTATCCCTTCAACCGCGTGGCTCACGTGCTATTCCAATCATAGCACCGCCAACGAAGCACCAACAGACTTCTCAACCAGACTCTAGAGAATCTTTAGAGAGAGACCAGAAGCAAAAGGTAAAAGCTTTATTGGATTCCATAGAGGGTACCTCGGGAATTGTCACAAAACAACTGGTGGGAGAAAGGCTATTCCCGCTTGTCAAGGTTTGTAATTTTATTTTATTTTACTGTTTACTTTTTACTTTTATTTATTTATTTATTTCTTTCTTTCTTTACTCTATTGTAGGCAATAGGCGTAAGACGAGCGCCAAAGATTACTATTCGCCTCTTAGATACTCTTTCAGCAGAAGAACTTGCCAACTCAATGTATGACAAGGAAAAGCTGAAGGTAAAGGTGGACGCCGTGGTAGCTTCTCTGAATGCAAGCCAGCAATATTAAATCATATTTCCCCACAAAGACATGTATACCTCATTCTCTCTCTTTACCTATCTAACTAACGAACTAACTATTTAACTATCAACTTTCTCGCATTCACCTTATATTTAATAAACATACAATCTCTCTCTCTCTCTCTCTCTTTCTATCAATATATATATATATATATGTCTTTTCATTCTTTTTACATGTATGTATGTATGTATGTGCGTATGTGCGTATGTGCGTATGTGCGTATGTGCGTATGTGTGTGTATATATACTTTTAAATATACAGGTTTATTCAGCTTGGTCTACTAATGCAATCATAAAGCGATATTCTGGCACTTCTTGAAGTTCGGGTTCCGACATATTGCTTCCTTTCCGAATTGCAGCCATTGCCAACTCTGCAGCTTCTTTCTCAGTTTGTCGATTCATCCAGTTCATATACTCCAGCCTAGGGATATCATACACAGTGTGCGGGAGAGGCAGAGCACGAGAAGATGATTGGGAACGAACTGCAAGGTGGTGGATCAAGACAAGCTTTGAAAGACCGGTAGTATGGTGTGCCGCTGTCAATTGCGCCGAGTCTAAAAACAATAGTGGTCTTTTATAAATGTGTAATGACCAGAAAAGGGGGTTATTTATTTGTTTGTTTGTTTGTTTGTTTGTTTTCTTGGTCAAGAGCTAGTTCAAAACATATCATCATCATAATTTTTCTTAGCACTTACCGGAATGCTCGAAGTGCTTTGTATTCCAAACCGATGTCTTCCATCTTTCCTCCAAATTCGCTCATCAATTGACTCACATTAAACTCGAGCTCGGCCATGTCGCCTGCAAGTTTAAGTTTTCCAGCCTCACTCAGAGGTCTGACTGTGCTGACTTGAAAAATAAACACACCAATAATATGTTTACTGATCTCAAGAGCCCATCCTTTTGGTTCAGTTCCACACGAAAGTCTGGATAGAATGGTCGAGTGGTAGTATCGCACATGGCGGGCCAGCTCTTTCATGTATCCGCTAGTGGAAGAACCATTGTCTTCTGGATCAAACGAGCGCCTAAGCTGTCCTGAGAAGTCTTCTTGGTGCATCCGAAGCAGCACCCGATCTGCATCTGCTTTGATAGCCTCGACCAAATTATGTCCAATGTTAATCATCAAACGTCGGCAGTCCTATTAATATATTATACACACATTTTATTATTATTATCATTATATATAATGCAATGTACTTGCACATATAAAATACCTCTGCTCCTTGTTTCACAACATCAATTGTCTTTTCTGGATATTCATCAAGCACCTTCCAAGTGGACTGGTGCATAAAGTACAGAATGTTGGCAAGCTCAATACTCAGCTTTAGATAAGTAGCAATCGCATTGTTTGGAACTGCTGTATAGATGGGTTGGTCACCAGTAGGAGTCTATATTTCACCCAAAAAAAAAGTGAGATTTTTTTTTTTTTTTTTTACTTTATACATATATTTTAAATAATCAGAATTCTCACTAAATCAGCCATCTTACCAAACCCTCGCATTTAACACAAAACATATTGAGAACCTTGACTGCATTTTTGGCCACAGCCTGAGAGAGATGGGGCTCGAATGCGGAAGTTTCCAACTCACTTTTGGACAGTAAGTAGAATTGCAAGATTGTATTGGTCAATTCCAAAACAAAGCAAAAACACATTTGGGATTTGCCTTTGTTTGTATATTTATATCTATTCTCACCTTCCAATAACCCGAGTAATGGACAGTACATTTGCTTTGGTTGGTACAGATCGTTTGATCCCACCGTGTGCAGGAAACGTGGCATTAACGGTATCATACATCCTAGTTAAGGATCGGGCCAAGAACCCACTCTCAAATGTACCAAAGCTACGTAACATAATGACATATTCTGGACTAAAAGAAAAGCGAAAATCGAAATGTTGACATATTAGACCTTGATACAATTTCTTCTTCTTCTTTAATGCTAATGTATATTTACCTTTGAGAATAATCTGACAGGGCCGTGCCATTATTCATAGCAACTCGAGAAAAGAACTCGTATAGTAAACGTAACAGTCTTGGATAGTCGCCCACAAATGTGTTTTGAAGAAAGGTAGATACTATATGTATGTATATGCATAGGTACAAATCAGCCATTTGGTGATATTGAATGTATCAGAAGGCTTTATTTATTTATTTATTGTTTATTTTTATTCGATTTATAATATATGTATGTATATAATTAAAGGTAATATATGTGCACACTTGTATTGCTTTACATATCTACTTACCTTTTGTTGCTTCTTTTAATTCCTTTTCAAAGGTGGCAGATAATACACGCCAGAAATAACTCACTAAACTGGTAGAATCGAGCACCTATTTCCTTTTTTTACTCAGTAACCCCTTTTCTCTCTTTACGATTTTCGTTTCATATTTACCTTTGACACTTCTTCCAAAAAGGACACTTGTGTAAATGAATCCTTTCTCAGCTCTAAAACTTTTTCCAAGCCATAGATCTACAAAATAATGAGAATGATATAAAAATTTAACAGGCCGCAAATAAATAAATAAACAAATAGATAAAACATTAACAAGAAATTAAAAATGAAAATGGACCTTTATGCAGGCGTCTCCCATAGTCTGCATCAATGCTTCCACACGACTCCACACGGCTTGTGTCAAGGTACTTTGGTTACCAAATGCCGGTTCATTATTGACTCGTCTTACAGATGAGCTAGCTGTTTGACCGGCAACTATATATGATAAACCCAATATTAAATTCACCAAATATTTATTATACATATAATAATAAAAAAATGCAATTCTTACCTCGGGTCTCTTTTTGAAGTGATTCCATATCTACTACATGCTGAATATCACTTTTTAAATCGTCCAGAATTTCTATAGTAATTGATTCCACTTTTTGGCTCATCTCCTTCATATTATAAAGTACTTGCAGACCAGCTGCCATCTTGGCCTGTACTTGTGAATCAATTCCCTCTTTCAACAGGCGACTGGCTTCACCCTCAACATACTCTCGGCTTTCTTTAATAAAATCCAGCTTGGTCGACACAGCATCAACCCCTTCAAAATCTGTTTCCTTCATGATCGCATCTACAGAGAAAAAGAAAGTTAAATACTAGCCACATGTATATATGGATATTTGGTTTGATTTGGTTTTGGTTACCTAGTTCATGAAGTGTTAATGCTGCGGCTGTCATATCGCGCTCTCCCATTCCTTCTTCCTTCATATTGGCCAGGTAAGTTTCCAATCGACGTACCAAAAGAAGAAAACGACGGAGACGGCTCAATAAGCTTGAGGTCGCCTGTAAGTTTTCAAGTTGGATAGCATAAGTCTGTAATTGATTGTATGGTTCCCTGATCTTCGTAGACAATCTTTTTTATAAAGAATATATATATATATATATAAAATGAATAAATTTCTGTGTATTTACAAGCAACAGAGAAATAATGATAACAGTAATATAATTCATTTATCTTTACCGTCCAAGTGATTCATTCAAGTCAATAATATTGGTATGTACACTTGAGAGGATTGTCTCGAGCCCTTTAATGCTTGTTATCTGTCCCAACAATGCTTCATAGTTTCCAACAACCTAGTTTTTTTTATTATTATTATTGCAAGATATATATATTATTAAAAAAAAAAGAACGTGCCATTTTCAATAAAAATTTGGATTTTTAGATCAAAGATCCTTTGTAGGTTTAATTGTAATTAAAGTATATTTTTATATTACATAAACTGAGAAGAGAATAGAAGAAGAAGAAAAAAAGAAAGAAAGAAAAACCAAGATTATTCTAACCTGCTCTTGTATTTGTTTATTGAGACTGTCGATGTTAAATGATAGTTTGGCAAGAGCAGTGCTAACATCACTCCCATCTCCTGTGCCTGACTGATTTACAATAGTATTCGCATAACTGTTGGAATCAAAATCGGTCGACAAGAATGTGTCATATTCTTAAAGGCATTCCGAGAATTAGACGGATGTAGAAAAATAAAATACAATGAGCTTCTTCTTATTTTTATCATCTTCTTCTCTTGTTTTTTCTTTGCTTCTTCGTCTTCGTATTCGCATTTGTATCCGTTCCTCGTAATTCGTATTCGTTTCAATGTTCTATTACTGCCATTTATTCTATCTTATTCTTTTTTTATTCTACTTTGTTTTCAAGACAAATAACAAGAAACACTGCCATTAACCCAAAAAACCCACCAATATAACCATCCGCTTTCTGTAAAGCAAACGTAGTAGGTGTCATTGTGAACCACTAGAATGTAGAACCTTCAAAGTAGTAGCTTATTAGAAAGGAGGGGCAAAAAAAAGCGCAAGTTCCGCTCTTTCCTTTTCAGGCGAACGCTGCTTAAGAGACGTTTGTGACGTCAAGTTATAAAAACACAGTCATTAATTCCTTTTTTTTCCTTCTGTCTACCTCTTCCTTCCCTTCTACTTTAACCCTTCAAAAGTGCGTACTTCTTTGTGGTAGAGAGAAATTAGAACGATAGAGATACAAAAAGAAAGAAGATAAAGAGAGAAAGAAAGAAAAACAGAAATTGCAAAAAAATGAAGCAATTTAGGGACAATATTATTATTTTAAGAAATCTAATCCTTAATATATATATATATACATACATACATGTATATATTTTTTTTTTCTTTTTATATGTGTATATATAAAGTATCTTGTATAAATCTTCAACATGGATCGAAAACGCGTTAATGGCCCCGAATTGAGTGTTCCTCCTATCTTCAAAAAATCAATGGACGTAGAACCCACAGTTCTTGTCAATCAGAATAAGAAGCGTGCTGATCAAAGAGGCCTCGATGACATTCGACCAATTTGTACGTAGTGGAAAGATAAAAGAAAGATGCAGAGAACATATAAAAATACAGAAAATTTTGATCGAACCTAATTGTGGATTAGATCTCAAGACTGGATTAGTCACTCAAGCAAACGGATCTGCTTATATTGAAATTGGAAACACTAAAGCCGTCTGTGCAGTGTAAGGCATTTTATTGATTTAATATCACAAAATAAAATAAACACTGGGGATATATTTCGACTGTCATTTAATATATATGTATTGCATAATGTAAATAATACTAATAATAATAACTTTATATATATATATATATATTATATGATACACTTGTGTAGTTATGGACCTCGTCAATTGAAGAAGGCTGGTTTCTCCAGAAATGGCACTCTCAATTGCGAATTCAAATTCTCGACATTTTCTTGCACCAAACGAAGAAATAATATGCGTGTAAGCTGACGAGCGATATTCTATACGACCACCAAAAAAAAAGAACAGAAAGGCACAAAAAGCGAATGGTGAATTCTTGACTTATTTATTAAAAACAAATATGCGCTTTTGTGCGTATCCGCATTTAGGACCCTCAAGAAAAAGAGTTTTCACAAATCCTTGTCCAAGCACTTGCACCAGCAGTACGCTTGGAACTCTTGCCAAAGTCAGCAATTGATGTCTATGTTAACATACTCGAAAATGATGGAACAAGCTCTTGTTTGTCGGCAGCAATTATCGCTTCAAGTGTTGCATTGGCAGATGCTGGTATTGAAATGTGGGATCAAGTAACTGCCTGCTCAGCGGTAAGAAACATATGTAAAAGTATTAAAGATATGTTTATGAACGATGTTGTTGTTGAATTAGGTACTGTCAGAGGATCAGGTCTTAATGGACGGCACTGAGGATGAAGAAAAGAGACAGACCGGCGCAATTATTCTTTCTTACATGCCTTCATTAAACGAGGTTACTCATATATTACAGTCTGGAAAGTCAGAAACTGCACTCACAACACAGGTAAAAGAAACAACTAAATTAGTTGGAGATTAGGGCTAGAAAAAAAAAACATCTGAATTTACCTATTAACTATTATATATGTGCTGTAGGCTGTAGAACAGTGTATCGATGGTTGCTCAAAGATCAGCAGTGTAATGGCAACTGCGCTTTTGCAATCGCTCGACAAATCCTCTGGCTTATAAGCTATTTATATAAAAAGGAGAAAAGAAAAAAGAAACCTTCATATATTATTTTAAATTTCATTTGCTACGGGATCATTCAACACGCACACCTACAACCTCATATATATATCTTTAATGAGGAAACCTTCACTTTCAACCGCCATTTAGACAAACATGAAGGAAACTATTTGGATATACCTAAAACGATACATAATGAACAACATAATTCTCAAACAACGAATTGAGCATTTTTATTGAGTGATGGCGTTGGGTAGAGAGAAATATATATAATTATGATATATTCGAGTATAAGTCTCAGTAACCTCAAACGAATACATACATACTCTACTATTTTTCTCTGTAAGAAAATGTCATAATTTGAACTATTGTTATTTATCTTCTTGCTATATCTTTAAAAAGAAAGCTTTAAAAGCATCTTTAGCAGTCGGTTAACCTTTATTTTATCTAAAATCAAATACTGCTACATTTACATAAAAAAAAGGCCACTTCACCCGGTAGTTTTAATTTTCTAACTTTTAACTAAATTATGAGAGCGTTTTCAGTTAGAACCTTTAAATCTCTGTCAAATTTAGCAGTTAGATAAAATTTAGGACTTTCTTTTTTTCATAAAATAAATTAAAAGGAACTGCTGGGAGGATAACTTTTAGCTAAAAGTCCAAATGCGGGATAAAAGTCGGGATAAAAGTTACTGCTGAAGATGCTCTAACTATATCAAAAACATCAGATAATTCAAAGAATTTAGCAGCTTTGAAAACCTTGGAAAATTAAGAGACTTTAGAGACTTTGAAGATTTTAGATGCTTTAACAACTATAAAGACTATAAGGGCTATAAGGGCTTTAGATACTTCAAAGATATCAGAGATTTTAAATAATTCAATAATATCCGATATATTCTTGTCATTATCATATACATGTTATTATACATATACTATATACAATGATACTTTTGTACCCAATTGAAGTAAGCGGTAGAGAAGTAGCTAAAGTCAGGGATAAAATAACGCACCAAATAGAATTTGGATCTACACATGAAAACTTTTAGCTATCAATACAATTATAGAAATTTGAAAGGATTTCATAAATTTAGAAGACAGGTAGTACAAATGGGTACTGAACACTTAAATTGATATCAAGATAAAGACCATATAATAAACTTTACCCTTGCAAAGCCTCCGGCAGAAAAAAGCCTCAAAAGGTCAATTTCAGATTTGAACCGGCAGAAAATAAGGCGATGCAATAAAACGTTTCTGTGCGTCGGGTCGCTCCGGGTTGGTCTGTGCACCTTATATTGCAGGAAGAAAGAAATTGGTATTCAAATAGGCGCAAATTGAACAACGAGATTGTAATAATAACATTTGTCTTGTGTACAAATCAGTTTAAGTGTATATTTATCTGTATAAAGCCTCTTTTTCTTTTTCTTTTTATGACCAATTGACATGAATTATATAAAAGATTGTGCGTATGTTCATATGTTAGAGTTCTTGGGACTGAAAGTGGCATAAACTCAGGAAGGTCCATTAGGTCCATGTCTTCAAAAGTGCTCCAATTGTTCCTTTTTCTTTTATCAAATTTGAACACGACTTTACTGTTGGACATGACTCTTTGTAAATCAAATTCAAAATTAGCAATTTTATTTTTGAATTGAATTGAATTGAATTGACTGTATGTACATATTTATATATGTATTTAGATATATAAATATAAATATAAATAAAAATATTAAATATAAGAATAAGAATAAATAAATCGAATAGTTGTTAAAGGTAAAATAAATAAATAAAAAGATTCCTTAACAGTTGAGCTAATATATGTATACGTATATATTATCAGAGTTGCATACTCTCAAGCCTATATAAAGTCTTTTCATAGTTAGTATTGTAACCTCTTGTCATTAGGTGATGTTGGCGTTCATTAAGTGATCTGGGAGAGAGGTTGTAATCTTCGTCTTCAAATTGGTATTTCTTAAAATCAGGATCTGGCTTGGGTTGTGGAGGGTCGATAGCGCCCAAGTCTGCTCTTATTTGTGCTCTCATATCATCCGTCATTTCAAAAGATTGATCTTCTCTGCCTAACAGCATCTCGCGTTTCTCGGGTGTGATGGTAAATGGAACTGGTTTTCCACCAACAGGATTAAATAATATATCCTTTGGCAAAGAATAGACAACAAAATGAATTGAAAGATAAACAGCCTAAAGAAGAAGAAGAAGAAGAAAGAAAACAAAATTAAAGAAAAATACATTAAACAAATATTAGTAAAATAAAGCAAATTTATATCGATTAGCAATATTTGTTCTCTTATTATTAATCGTTAGTATTTACAAGTGGAAAGGAGAGTATCATTGATCCTGTAATGGCTCGGATGATCGTAGGACTACAATATCGAGCAATAAGTGGCGAGAGTAGTCGTAGATAAAATAGAATGTTGTGATAGCCCTAATACCAAGTATGTTGAGTAATTATAATATATATATATATAAAAAGCAGTATGAAATACGATCTCACTTACGACATAAACTTTCCAATATTTAACATCTCGCATGTCCATAATGTTCGTTCCGGTAATGAAGACATGCCAGACAATATTTTTTGTAAGCAGATAAGACGCCACTACCAGCATGAATGGATTATGTGTCGATGGGTTATAACACGAATTCGATAGGAACGCGATGGGTACAGTAAGAGTACACAAGGATGCATGTTTTGTGTATTGCATACTGCTGAGTATTTGATTACCAATCCACCTAATGCATTTTTTAAACATATCAGCCAAGTAATCTCCCCAAAACTCTTCTTTTGAGGGTTTGACAAAGTCTTCAAAGAATGTTTGCAAGATGTCCGAAATCTTGTTCATGTCCATTTGAACCTTTTCAAGGAAAGTCTTTTGTGTTTTGTCAGTATCGAACGGCATAAAGATAAAAACTACATTTAAGATGAATAGATTTGTAAGATTTTTGTTTTGATTATATATATATATATATGCATAGATAAAAACAGAGGCTTACTGTAGAGACAGATCATGATTGAAATTGCGTGCATTATAGTCCACCCGGTTGCCAAAGAAAAATATTTTTTTGCGGTTGGTTGGTTGGGCACTGCCGTTTGAAGCTTTATCATCATATCGCTCCTCCAAGGCTGCCAGTCTTTTTCTTTGCTCGTCCCGATTGTTTCTCTGACAAGCTCATCGCAGTTTCTACAAAGTGGAGTACCATTGACAAGTCCGGTATGAAGTGCGTCAGAGTAATAGCAATTGGATTTGTAAAGTGGGTCCTAATTATTTGAAGCAAGATTTGCTATTAAATATTTTAAAGCACAAATAAGCTATTTACTAGATAAATAAACACATAAAAAATAAAAAGAAAAACAGATAGATAGACAAGCGGATATGTGATTCACTTACTGATTCATCGGGAATATAGTTTTTCATAATAAGGTCGTTTTCACTTATTGCCTGCATACATTGGTCGCAAATTTTTCCCTTTTGGATTGGTAATTTGATATTTGGTCCAATGTCTTTACTGGATATTGGGTTTTTAGCTGGACGACAGGACCTCATTTCTAATTAATTAATCAATCAATTAAATAAATAAATAATTAAATAAATTCTCAATGTTTATCCATAGACTTGTATGTATGTGTTGTCAAGGTCAGAATGACTGTAATTAAAATTGTACCGATTTTACTTGGTTGTTCGGCAAACATGGCATCTACTTGGTCAATGATCGTTCCAGTCTAATAATAATTCCTGAATTAGATATTTGATCCCAATGCAATAGAAACAAGAATCGAAATAAATAGGTAAATAAATAAAGGAAAATGAATTTACTTCGTCCAACAAATTGTCGCTGTCGCAAACTTTACAATGCCATCTTTCGTACGTTTCTTGTCCGTCTTCTAGTAAGTAGCTTGTTTGATGACAGTACCAGCATTGTACAGTTAAAGGAGGAGCGATCCCGATCAAAGTTAACAAAAAGATTCCAAAATCAGACCAACTTGAAAATGGTGATCGTTTACTCATCACTTTTTTAAAAAAAGAAAATGAAATAAAAAGAATAACAAGGTTAGAGGTTTTATAGTTTTATTTTTATTATTTTTTTTTTTATTTTTTTATTTTTATTAAAGTGACGTAAAAAAAAATGCGCTGATCCAGGATATCGGTAAAACAACTAGTTTCACCAAGTCTCTTTATTTTATTTATATGAGATTTATAGATACCTCTTGTGAGATCAATGGAGAAAGCCATATATATATATATATATACATGCTTGTATATATGGGTGCAATACTTACATTGACATTCCCCCTTTTTTTTTATATATCAAGACTTTTAAAAGTGTACGTTACATTTATTTGAAAAATCTTATTTCTTAAAACGGAATTCGGGTTCTTGCCGTGAAGCACAAGTTTCATTTCTAATCCAAAGATTGGCCAGTTCAAAGCCAAGCACCTACTAAATTATGATCTTATAATATAAAATTTAATAATCTGTGCATAGTTTTTGGCGCCTTTATGCTTTTAGGCCAAAGATATAAAGGTTGGAATAATGGGATTTTTGATAAACTGATGGGTTTGGAATTGAAATTGAAATTGAAATTGAGATTGAGATTGAAATAAAAAGATAAAAAAGGGTATTTTCATTAACTATGAATTATGAACTCATACAGACTTTTTACCATCCCACATTCAATAAAATTTTCACCTGGTCTTCATGTCACAAAAGTTGTATGTATGTTTCTTTTTTTTTTTTTGACAAACTTGTAGTTTAAAGTAGGAAATATAATATATAGAACAAAAGACATGAAATATCTTTTAAATATATAAGATTTCTATTGACTCCACTTTCATTAAGAAACAAAATCCTCTGGTAAGTCTTATGGAGATATACTATTTCGATAATATATATATATATACATTTGTGTGTGTGTGCCTTTCTTTCTTCAGCAGAATAAAATGATAGAAATTATATAGCCTGTCAAAGTACTATACTTGTATTTACAAGTGCTTTAGCTAAAACGAAAAATTTATGCTAAATTTATGCTTGGCTTATATCCTTGAATGAATTTATCTTGATATACTTGAATTATATTGAGCACATCCTCGTGTACTCCTCTTTATATCTCTTTAAAATTAGATAAAAGAAAAGGCAACCATTTGGATTTACGGAGTTAAAACTTCGCAAGTCACTTTAAATTTGGCAGTCTTGTATAGTGGGACAACTGTGGCCTAATTACAAGACAATAGTTTAATAAATACGACCCTCCAAACCAACGTTTTATATATATAGTTTTTTTTCAAGTTTTACAACTAGTACAATCGTATCCATGGCTGACGATTCTTGTACAATTTGTCTCGATAGCTTCACTTCAGGACCTGTGTCGGTGCTTTCTTGCCGGCATGTGTTTCACCACAGCTGGTAAGCCGCATTCTTCACAACCATCGACATTCTCCTCATTGGTGAACTTTTTTTCCCTTTCTCATTCGTCTTCATTACCCAGCATTCTGTCCTGGATTGCTGGTGGGGCAACCCGGTGTCCGAATTGTAATAAAGAAGTAGGCTCTGCGGGAATTATTGGGCCTGTATTTGCTAGTTTCGGACAGAATCACTCTACCTCTCCAGATCTTACTGATGTTAGTGAAACTCTAAGAATCAAGCGTGAACTAAAAGAGCTTAAAGAAGAAAGAGAGAGAACTAGGCTGGAATTAAGGCAAATTGGAGAAATCGCAAAGTAAGGCGTATTTATCAATATCAAAAACATTGTTCGTTTGGCTAATAATAGACTACGTTTTCGTCACAGGGCAAAGTCTGCAATGAACGAAGGTTTATTTGATGGCTGGAAACAAAGTAAAGCTATGTGGAGATCTTTACCAAACGAGAGACTTCCAATTATACTTGCGTCGTATCAGACAAAACTGGCCTTGGCAGATGAGTGTGTATTATTCTTATTCTTATAGATACATATGTATATCTAAACGTTATTCTCTAAAACTATACCGTAAATATCATCTAATCTATCTATCTATCTATCTGCTGATTTGGAATTAAAGTGAGCGCAGGAGAGAGGCAATGGCAAATCGAAGTGCTACGGCTAGGATTCAAGAGCTCAAGCTTAAAAATGCACAATTAAAAAGACAGGTAGAAAATCTTGGAGACAATTGTATATGGATATCCACCGTGTATTTTTCTATTTGCTCATATTTATGGAATAATATTCAGGTTGTTGCTCTACAAAATACACGCACTAAATCCCCTCCACCTTATTGCCACTGTACCTCTACAAACTGCATTTGCCCTGCTCCTCCCTCAGCACCTATACTAAAATCAGAAAGCCCAAAAAAATATCCAACATACTGGGGAAAAAAGCTTCCTTTCAAAGAGCAACATAATGGAAATTTAATATTTACTAATAGGTAAAAAAAATTGAATCAAACGAAGAGGTCTATCAAATACTTACTAGAATTCTTGACCATATATTACAAGTCCTTCCAACCTAAAGCGATCGTACGGATCAGACCATGACGATAATTCAAGTACTACTGATGATGGATCAGGAGAGTAGGTTTTGGAAAGCACCGAGTATAAGATATAGAGTATCTCAAAGCTTCTCATTAGTCCAGTATCACTAAACCCACCAAAAAAGCAAGCCGTGGATAGCAGCAAAATCGCGTCAGAATCTAAAGTCCGAAAAAACTTCTTCCCGTAAGAAAAAGAAATAGTATATACTTTTGTGCATAATATTTTCTTTTCTCACACGTATGTGTACATTGATTTATTTATAATGCACAGGTCAACAATATTAGCCAAAGGCAAAGGCAAAAAATCAGAAGAGAATATAGATACCTCAGACTTGGAAGGATCAGAAAGTCCTGTGGTTATGTAAGTGTCTTTGGATTTTGAGAACATTCTGGACTGGAGCTAATTACATATTGTCTAGAAGTGATGACGATGATGATGATTTTTTCTGGATAAAGCCAATACAAGGAATTACGATTATTGATGGCCAGGGAGCAGGCCCAAGCACAGGTCTCTCAAGGAGGTATTGCACGACTTATTCTGGGCCAAAGTAAAGCCGTTGCTCACTATATTTCTTGAATAATTATGACTTCAACATCTCATAGGCAAAAACCTATTGGTAAGCAACATACACATACATATAAACCGCTAATTATCTATATGTGTACATTAGCTGATATGGTGATATTAATATATGTGTATATATGATATGTGTAGTTATCTCAAGTGATGAAGAAATGAATTGAAAAGCATACAAAGAAAAAGCAATTCAGGAAACTCAACTTACATATGTTAATTTTTATTTATTATCGTCACAGCACATTTGCTATTACGTGTTACCCTTATGTACATTGCACACTTATCATGATTCCCAAGGTCGGAAGCAAGGCCATTTCTAGGAAAGATCCGAGATATCATACGTCAAGTATGGTAGCTTCTAACTTTTTCATGGGTAAAAATTAGAGCCTTCAACAGACTATGTAAATTTGTATCTTCAACGGATACACTTTGTATACTTGTAGTATATGTTTTTAATTTAATTAAAAAAAATCGTTCAAGATTATAAACCGAAAAAAAAAAGATTCTCTGTAAGTATATTTTATTTGTGTATATTCTTGACTTTAGTTTTAACAAAAGACATTAAGAAAAGACTTGGAATATAAAGTAAAAGAGAGAGAGAAAGAGATATTTTGTATATATTATGCTTTGTTTTATTGTTGTTTATATACAAATATCCAAAGCAGGGCAGTTTAAACAGCTTGGTAGATACACAGATAAATGTAAGCCACCTGTACTTGTTCTTTTATTGAAGTCAAAATGGAGATATTTCCATTTGGATAATTCAACAGAGGTTTACACCTTATTCAACATGCCGTATATAAATCTGATAAAATAAAAGCTCGTTTTATATATGCAATACATATATTAAAAACTGAACTTGATTTCACACAACTGAATAAGAAATTATTGTGTTAAAGCTTTAACAGCGTCATTCTTTTTCTGTAAAGAAAAAAAAAACATTTACCAAGGTAATGGTCTGTTTCTTTCACAATTTTCATTGATAAGTGTCCAACCAAACCCACTTCAACCTTTATATTATATATACCGTACATATCACAAATACAGATAAAATAGTATATTAAGAGTCGTGTGTATTAAATACATTAAACAATGAATTGCAGTTATATAAGAGCATACATATTACATAACAGACCACTATATACTGAATACAATATCCAGACTTTACCCCTCTCGAGCATAGGAATAAAAGCGATTTAAGAGGACCTTCCTTTACCTTTACCCTTGTCCTGCTGTGTACTACCCTCTCCATTATCTGAGATACGTCTCTTATTAAAGGTCTCGTCTATGGAATCGTCTTCTCTCTTTCGTTTTAACCCCTTTGCAGCTGACGGTAGAGCATGTGAGCTATTATGTGTAGAAGGTGAGCCACCTGGGCGCTCAGCTTCCAGAAGCGTGTCGGACGGTTGCTCTGTGTGTGTTTTATTTGATTCTAATTCCGGTTCGTGAACTGTAGGATGTGAAGTAGTGTGCGCAGATGCATTCAGGCCATCTCTTTCAAACACCCGATTATTACTTTCTGCAAGTTCAATATTGGCAAGCACATATGACAGACATTGATTGGATAGACTCAATTCATATAATCCAGTTGATGTTTGCACTCTCTCTGTAAACTGTTGATATACATCCTATATATATATATATACATTAAACAATAATTAGAAATGAGTATCGTAAATGCAATAAAATATGTACAGTCAAATAAGCTATACACAAACAAACAAACAAAGAGTGGCGCATGATACCTCAGATGTTACTCCTGCTTCCTGCAAAGTATCACTTAGGTGTCTCAGATTGGGTATTGCTAGATTCATAGCCTGTACAGTTAATCTAAGGGCTATTGCAGTTTGACGAGCTCTTTCGCGAGGATTTTGAACATATTCATCCGAAAGAAAAGTCGGGTCCTCAGTAAAAGCATTTCGACGGCCTGTGGTATTATTTGAAGCTTTTTGTATTGAATAAGTTTTTTTTAAAAAAAAATTGTTGTTCCTGGTATCAACTTACAGGGCTGTGTTGTCGAGTTAAATGTCGATTGAGCGTTTCTGGCATGTGAAATACTTTCCGCTAATCTCATTTCTATGGATCTCTACAGAATATAGTTATATTGGTGTTTTTACTGAACCTCTAAGATCAAATACATACCGAGTAAGGCCAATATGTGACAGCAGATCGCCGCACAGATCTCGGCATAAACAGTGAGAATCTTCTATTTACACGTTGAGGTTCTGGCATGCCTTGCAGTGTCTGCTGTAAGTGTCGAAGTGAGCGCCGAAAGCGTACCATCGGGGGTTCTCTATCTTGAAATAAGGATGCAATATCCTAACAACTGAAAGTGAGAACCTAAAACACATAATTCTATTTATAAAAAAACAAACGTACGTGGGCCGACACATTATTATTGTTATTGTTATTGTTATTATTATTGTTATTGTTGCTGTTGTTGTTGCTGTTATTAGTGTTAGTGTTAGGCCACAGCCCATGTATTATCCTTCGTAAACGAGAAGTTGGACTGAATGGATTGATGGAGGACAGACCGTCGAAAATAGTATTAATCATCTGAAGATAATCCAAGCTCTGATGTTATTTCTCTCTTGCTTTTATATACACATCAATAGTTCCATATAATATTTTGTCTTACTGGAAGACCTCTTCCAGTTGGATTGGTCCAACCAGGTGTGTTTTCTCTGAGGCTGTTGGATGAAGCTATATTTCGGGCAGTCATTGAAGGAGACTCATATGCTGTTATCCGTGGAAAGCGCACCATAACAATTTGCCTGGGTGATAAATATTGACGAAGGCGTAGTCGAGGACTATTTGGTGTATCTTTTTTTTTGTTTGTAATTTTTTTTGTGTAGGATATAGTAAAGTTAAGTTTGATGAAAGTAGATTGCAATTAACAAACACAAACACACCGTTCATTGGATTAGAAGGGGCGTTGTCTGAGCGAACAACGAGATGGACTACCTTGCCATTATCAAGGTTTTCTACCATAAAGTGTCTGTCAGTTGAATAGCTTCTCCATCGAATGGATGTGCTGTACCATAATCTAAAAGATTCTTATCATCTTTCAAGATGCGCCCTAGAAAGATCAGCCTCTGTCGTTCTATAGCTACATCAAACACATTTTGTATTTTTTGTTTCAAAAGAGGTACTGAAGAATTGCGTGGTATAATGACAGAGCGGGTATCTTGTTGTTGTGTTCGTATGTTAAGTTTAATAAAATTTGGTGGTATGGTTTCGAATGAATCATATTGTGCATCAGTCATTTTTGTTTTAACTTGTTGGAATGTATTTGAACCATAGTATCCGATAAATGGTGACCTTTTGAGTTGATATGTGACTTCAAACTTGGCTACACTAAGCAGTTGGTGTGGACAGACTAAAAGTTCAAAAAAAGGGCAAAAAAAAAGGGTAAAACAACTTCATCCAGAATTTAGTCAATCAGACTAATTTATGACTGTCCACACCTTTTTTTTTTAAAAAAAAAATTCAAAATACATATTAGATAAAATTATGCATATAATCCCGTCTATGTCATTAAGTGAGAACCTTTAATTCCGAGTTTTTCTTGACTTCTCATCATATGGGACATCTTCTCCATAAAAAAATGCTTCTCTTCTCAATCTTAGTGGCAACGGAAGAAAACTAGCTAATTAGAGTCGATTAAAAAATTTGCCCTTTTTTTTGGATGTTAAAAAAAAAAAGGGCAAAAAAGGGCAAAAAAGGGCAAAATTAGTTAAAACTCTAGCCCAATGATATGTCTTAAATTTTTGCTCTTTTTTTTGCCCTTTTTTTGAACTTTTAGTCTGTCCATACCAAGTGTATTGAAACATCCTCCAAAAATAATTATGTATAGATTATTTAAATATCAATCTCCCGTGATATTTCTCTCTCTCTCTCTCTCATTCTATTGCTTTAGAGTATAAAGTGATAGTAATAAAGTTTTTATTATTTGAGCTTTTACATATGTGTTAATATAATGATTCTGGATTTATTTATTTTACATTTACCTTTAAGTCAGGAGGACTTGGAAGGGGTACATTTTAGGTGCAAAAGTTCGTTAAAAAGCTGCCTAAATCGAGTATGTTCCATGATAAGTTTTTTTGAAAAGATGTACCAAAAGGAAAACAGTCTTTTATTATCATTCAATAGTATATTTGTATTTTTCAATATATATTTATTCAGAAGCAATAACATCTTTAAATGTGTCAAACGAGTCAATTATGCTCTAGAGATCAATAAGCAAGATATATTGTACGGTAATGTATCAAAATATCGTTATTAAATAAGAAATAAAGAAACATGGGGCAATAGACATCTGGGTATAATGAAAGCGTGCTATTCTCCGGGTAGTCCAATTACAAGCTATTTTCTGCAGTATATATTATTTATTTAGGACAATTCTTTCTCTTAATTTATTTCTATTTTAAATTATAGTACTCTAAGTAAATTAAAGTAATTTGATTCAGGTACAGTTAATCTACTATTTTCACTGTGTATCAATTATATAATCACAAATCATTAATCTGAAAATAACGGGTGAGATCTAAGCAGCTTTATTGGGGGAATACAAAATGGACTGTAATCAATGCAAGACCCACTAGTGAACAATAATATTGCTCTTGTGTAATTTCTTTACTCTAGATATTAATACTAGACCCTGATAATCTATTACTGTGTTTTTTGATTTATTTAACATAATTTCATGTATATCTAGTTACCCTTTTTCATTTTATTTTATATATTGATTACTATTTGGGGGTTGAGATTGTACCAAAGAAAAAAAATTATTTAGTATGGCTGATTGTTAAATTTAAAGCGCTAATTTTTATCGATCTCAAGGTAATTGATTGAATGAGTGGTATTCGAATACAAATATATGATAATTCAATTTTTCTTTTATTGTCGACCGTGGGTCTATTATCAGATTGATTTCAGGTGGTTTAAAAACAATGACACAATAGACTCTATAATATATAGATATAGACACTTATTATTCTTTTATACCTTTTGAATTTCACATTAAATTATAGTTTTGTAAACATTTGTTGATTTACCTTTCAAATATTCAACATTTTTTTTTTCATATTCATTAAAGGAAAAATATTCCTATTATAATGAATAAAGATTAGATAAGAAAGGAACCTGTGGCAGGACTTTATATTTCATCTTACATACATGTCCTATTTGTCTTGTTTTATCAATCTAAACCCTAAAATTTGAGTACAATAAAGTATTTACCAGCAGTGGTCTTTTAATAAAGCTTTCACATAGTTGATTGTAGTTTCCATGGCTATTAACTAAAATCCCCCGTGATTTCTGGTGCTGTATAGCAAGACATGAAATGTATCAGTTAACCTGAAACTTGAGAAAATAATTCACTACTATTCTATTCTAGTTCGTCAGCCGATTCTTCTTCTAGTAGTCAATATTCTTGTGAAAGAAGTTTTTTTTTGTATTAACAGCTGGCCCTATAAAAGAAAATCAGTCCGTATCACCTCAAAGAACTTTATTGTGCAAATTGCTAGTAAAAAGCGTCGATCCCTTCCCGCTGGCTTGTTAATTTACTATATATCCAAGGGTCAAGGGCTTGTTGGTGCCTAAATTGTCTGGATTGCCAGTGCAACCGCAAGGCAAGCCTCTCCTCATTGACGTGAGTAAGTTCCAGGATCGTGAAAGTGCCGTTCAAGTGATATGATTGTCTTTAGAAGGGAGGATTCCCAATAGTGAACTGTCACACAAACACACACCTCGTGCCCTTTACTTTCATAACAATTTAAGCGGTCATTTAAAAGATCCTCCTCGAGTTTCTCTATTTTGTTGTATCTTTGCTTTTTAGATTAATCGATTCCACACCAACCATGGGAATGCAAGTTGTAGACTACCGAGTATCAACACTTGTCGTACTTTGTAAAGATTGCGGCAATGATGTCGGCCTTTATCCTGCCAGACACAAATGTCAAGACGTGATCCGTCCTGCAATGCCAACATTACCAGCAAAGTACGCAAACCTTCCAGACTCATCCCTGCAAGTTCCCCGAAAGACTCCCCCTCCTCTTGAGAGCAGCACTTCATCATATGGAAGTTCGTCTACCTCCACAGTAGGATTTCCTCCTAGTCCTAAATTTTCGTCTTCCGCCACCTCAGAGACCACAACTACCAGCAAATGGGCTCGCTTTGGAAAATCTACACCTACACCACGGGAAGAACCAAATGAAGACGAAGAAGAATCAATTTATTTCAACAAATTCGCAGCCAATCTTCCTGACTCTCATTCTGACTCTCCACCAGTAACTGGAAAAAAGTTATGGGGAAAAGTCAGAACAAATGAAAAATGGAAACAGTTGAACGAGAGTGGTAAGGATCCGTGTGCAAATTCTCAATTGGACTTTGGTTGTAACCTATTCGATTTTTTAAAATAAAATAAAAACAGCTGAGAAGCCAAAGCAGACTGGAAAGATTTGGGGGAAAATTATCCAAGCAACTCACAGCATAGCCGAAGCCAGCTATGTGGATGAGAAGGGTCCAGGTAAGGAGTAATTATAGGTAACAGCAACCCATTAAATTCAATTGAGTAGAATCCGATGAATCTGACTGGGAAGGAGAATCTCATGTATCAAGAGTGCTACGAGAGCATTACGAAAAAAAGCGCGAGGCCCTTCCAGCTTGGTTACGAGACGAACGTACTTCTACCCGTCGAATGGCAGAACCAACCTCTCCGGAAAGACGCCATATGGATGTAGAGCCTGTCAGAGCCGATAGAAATTCAGTCGGTAGACGCCAACGTTTGTGGGCAAGCACTCCAGATAGTGATCGTGTTCTGTCTAAAAGAGAACAAGAACTTCAAGATCTACGACAAGCGCAGGCAGCAGTACCAACAGTTTACGAAGAACCACCCGCTCCACGAGGAAGAGAGGATCCTTATTCTGAGAACATCTACAACAATCCCAAGAGTAGTTACTCGGGTGACAATTATAATCGCCAACCCCAGAGCTACAATCGCGCCGATAATTATGAGCCCAAGCGAAACCAGAGTACATCAAGAGAACACCCTTACGAAGATTCTTATCAGTCTCGTTCAAACCATCAAGACCAACGTCCAAGCCACCACCAATCTTCCCAGCAACAACAGAAAATGCAACACCAGCAGCATCAGCATCAGCATCAAAATCATCAACAACAGCAACAGCAACAACAACAGTATCAAAAGTACCAGCAAACACAATACCATCAGCAGCAAGGATCAGGCCGTTATGATAATCATGTTGAACATGACAGAAGACAACAGCCACAACAATCATACCGACATCAGGAATACGAAAACTCTCGAGGAACAGATCCCAGTTCAGCACCACGTCAAAGACCACAACAATACATTAATGATAAGGATTTTAACCCCTCAATTCCAAGCTACGGACGCCCTGCTCAGCGTAGTCAACGAGAGATGCAAAATCGCCCTGGACGTTATGCTGAAACCGCTGGCGGATACTTTTGAATTAAGCTATATATTAACTACATACCTCACTTACACCCCACATATACTTACACGCATTAAATCATTCACTCACTTTCGGAAATCTTTAATAAAAAAATACACACATACACACATACACATATACATAAAATTTATCGATTCATCTTATCAATTTGCTTGATGCCCAAACTTTTTTTTATTGTAATTCATTGTCCGACACAAATCCATATACTCATTCGCAAAAAAACAGGCCTAGAATTTTGGCTTCTTCTATACATTCAAACAATGACAGTAAACTTGTTGACGGTTTTAAACCATCAACTCTTCAATGTTGGCTTCTTTTTCTTTACCCGCCAAATGATTAAGACTTTCCATTGGGACAATCCCGAGTATGTTCCTTTAATCCGTGCCATCTACCTTGTAACTCAAGTGTGCATCATTGGCATCGGTTATTGGCTTATTGCTGTAGTCCGCAAGAAGAATGGTAACAAAACACTATTAAATTACTTAAAACGCACGCACATAAAAATGCGTATTTGGTTGATAACCTAACTTTTTTCTATCTCTATCAAAATACAGATCATACCGTACTCCGTTATGTAGAAGCCAGTAACTCTGGTTGGGACGGCACTGGTGGTGAAGATCAACTTGTAAATACTACAAACCTTGGTAAGATAAGACTTCATGATTTTTTGGTCCTATTACCTGCTTGCCTTATTTACTTATCACACTCTTGGGCTAATGAATTAAAAATAGATTACGATGTAGCTGAAATCAAAAAGAATATCAAGCAAGCATTCACGGGTATTGCAATCGTTGCATTTTTACATTTGCAGTTCCATTATGTCCAGCCTATAATTGTCCAATCTGTTCTCGGCTTTAAGACCTTCTTGTTGACCAAAGAAGCTCGCATTCATGTTTGGGGAGAAAAAACTGTGGGTGATCTCAGACGACCTTTCAGGATTGAGTCTCCACTCGGCATTTTCCCCGAAAAAAGGCAGCCAAAGGTTGACCAAGGTTCAATTAAAAGAGCAGAAAAGGCATTGAAGGGAAAATAATAGGATGTCTGAACTTGGACCTTTTTTATGAATGGTTTACGAAGTACATATACACACACACGCATATTTATAGAAAATATACATTTATTGAAGTTTCTGTTAAAAAAAAATGAATATTCAACAAGGAAAAATAAATAAACATCTAATAAACTTTTAATTAAGTACTATTTCTTTGCAGTATTAAACTAAAGTTCTTAGATTGGGGGTCGCACTAAAGTTAATATTACATTATGCTATATTAATACCCACTGGCTTATGTGGATTTTTTTTATGAATGGTCGATTTAAAAGTGAAGGGAAGGCGAATCAGGTTTGCTTTCCAGCCTTCTTCTTACGCTTATTAGTCATAGAGTTACCATCGTCCGTCTTTTTTCTTTGGCGTTTTCCTGTGGAATCATCTACAGAATCAACAGCCCTTTTAATAACACATCTTAATTCTCAAGGTTCTTATTTATCAAATAAGATATATCTTCACAGTATCCTCAACGTACCTCTTTGTTGTGTAATCTAAAAAAAAAAGTCATATAAGATCACATCAGAAGACATAATAATAAAATATCTCTATTTCACTTACTGCACTTGTACTTCCTGGCTCTATCTTTGTCGCTGTCTTTGATCCCTGACTACTTCCCTCTACACTTTGTGAATCTAGTGAGTGCCGAGTCTGGGCAATTCTTGCTGCTGATGCCTCAATAGCACGGTCCATCCAATGTCGAAATGCTTGATTTTCCTGTGCTCGAAGCTTACTCGGCTGTGGTCCTTTTTTTTTAAGAAAGAAAAAAGCATATATATAATAATAAAGAATATTTTTATTAGATTCATTCCTCTCCTCAAGTCTTGTCAATCTACCTCGTGTCTTTTCTGGAATAGCAGTAACAGGTTGCTTTTCATTAGTTGAGTTATTTGCTTTCCAGCTATATCCCTTTGCTGGATGAAATTCCATCATTGCCTGAGTCTCTTTGAATGCACTGTTGACATGGAAAAGACTGGTCAACTGTGAAATACAGAATGAATGAAATAAGATATTGCGTTTAACCACAACATCAACGTAGGAATTCTCGAGTTGCTTACCAGCCTATTAGCAATAACGGAATAAATAGTGGGCGATTGATATACATTGGCTCCAGTAATATAATATGTAGCAATAGGGTTTACTTTTGTAAAATGAGTAGCCGTTGTTGATTAAAGGTTATATAAGTCTATCAATACCATCATCAGGTGCAGGTCCTCTTCGATATCTTTTTTGAATGACCCATACGGGTGGCTGCTCATGAATAACTGCAAACTCGATTCCAGTCATCTTTCTTTAATTTAGGAATTCTAGATTAATGTCAAGTCTTTTTATTGAGTGTAGATCGAGACTACCTCAAGGCTTCTACAGTCGCTTCGTATGGTTGTCTGAGATCGTTGTATTGCGTCTGCATAGATAAAACCTGATTGTTGCATTGTCTATCCCAGAATGGCGACATTGCAAAATAATCGAGAACCATCTGTTGATTTTGGAATCCACCGACACGCTTGTTTTCTGAGAGTCAATACCAATAGCTGTTGTGCAGTGTTGCAAAGAATATATTTATTTATATATATAATATATACATCGATCTACCTCTAGCCAATTAGTGTCACGCCATTCGACACTTGTTAGATCTTCAGTTGCTGCAAATCTTTGCATGTCTATCTCAAAAAAGAACTCTATTGCATCAAGTTCTGAGAATAAAGCTACTCTAGCGGAAATTCAATCAAAAAGTTAAAAGATGTCATCGCTAGAAGTCAAAAAGGATATGAACCTAATTCGGTAAGGTATGTTATCTACTAGTTAGCTTCAACTATATTTCCAGGGCAAGAAGGAAAATAAAGAGAAAACAAACCTTTTTTCATCATGACTCCCGCCTACAATCACCTTCCAAGCCAATTGAAGAACCATTATATTCTTGCAAGACATGGGTTCTCTCTAGCCAACAATGCTCATTTGATCTGCTCTAATCCTGACATCGCTATTCCTGAGACCGGTGGTCCACTTGGTACTGGATATGGTCTTCACGAGTCTGGAAAAATCCAAGTTAGAGAGGTATGTACTAACACATATTTTCAAATTCGATAATTATTATCCAACACATTTATTTACCTATTTATATATATGTGTGTGTTTCCTTAGTCTGCTAAATTACTCTCCAAGCATCTTTTCCCTGACCAAAAAGCACCTTATGGAGATGAAGAACCGGTCAAGATGTTCTGCTCTCCATTCTTGAGAACACGTCAGACCGCCGAGATTATTCGCTCAGTGTTGAACGAGACCGTTTTGGATGGCAAGGTTGCTGAGCCTACTCCCAATCTTGCTCTGCGAGAGCGTTGGTTCGGTATTTTTGATATGACTCACGACGACAACTATCATCGATGCTGGAAAGAAGACAACGATGCCCCTGATCATGGCGAACACAGCAAGTTTGGCTGTGAATCTGCTAGTAGTGTTGCTGATAGAGCTACTAAATTTATTGTCGAGGAGATTGAAAACAAAATGGAAAACAAGATTGTTATTCTTGTTGCCCATGGTGATATCTGCCAGATTTTACAGACCAGCTTCCTTGGTATGGAAGCATGGCAGCAAAGACAGATTGAGCATGTTGAAACTGCCAGCTGGAGAGATATGAAGGTCTCAAAGTAAAATTAATAATATAAAATACCTTGTATAGACTGTATAGTTATATCACAATAAAAGAATGAAACTTTCATCGATGTCATTACCTTTTCTATTTAACGCAGATTTTTTTTATGAATTGATTTTAACAAAAAGAAACATTTATATGTACTAGATAAGTTTGTCTGTAGTGTGTATAGGGACATGGGTTTAATGAACGCTCATAATTGTAATAGTGGGAGAAGCTAAATCACATCACTATATTGAGTCTTGGCTGTATACATATATATTGAATAATACGCTATGAGAAATGAATGGTGATAATTATTCATATGATAAATAAAATTCGATTTTTTCTTTGTCTATCATAATACTATGGCTATCACAGGAGCTCTTAGCTATATAGCGTTTTTTATAGATTATTTGGGGTTTAACTACAAGAAAAATAACAGCATAGGCCATTAATTGCTATAACTTCCCAGTAAAGTCATGTTTTTCCACCACTATGGAAAGCTGAAAAAAAAACCCCATACTTATTAAGGCCAAGACTTTTACTGTCTACAGTAATATTGAACCAAATGATCTATTTGACTCTTATAGTCACCTAACATTAAAGGTAAATGATGGGACGACTGTGACAAATTTAAAAAGACAAATATATATATATATTCAACTTGAGTATCTATAGCCTAGCTCATATACAGTCAAAGCTCGATATAGTGATATGGATGGTGGACAGAAATTTTATCACTATCACTATATCGAGCGTGTTTTTTTCTTACTCCGCGCATTATTTAGTGATATTTCTAATGTCGCTGTGAGTGACTACTGTTTTCTAACAGGATTTATAGTATTTTGTCTAAGAAACTGGGCTTGCTTTAAAATGCTAAATAAAATATATACTACATTTATTTTTTTATAGTACAAAAATAAACTCAGAGCTCGATATAGTGATACTGGTGGATTCAAATTTTATCACTATCACTATATCGAAAAATAGTGATAATAAGCAGGCACGGGCCCAAATTTTCCAAAAAATTATCACTATATCGCGATTATCACTATATCGAATATCACTATACCGAGCTTTGACTGTATCACAGACTGCCTCCTGATTTTGTAGAAAGAAACAAGAGAAATAAAGACTGGAATAGTATTATGGTATAGTAAACTTTGTGTTTGCTATTCTCTTGACAAAAAAAAAACATGCGAGGTATATGAAGAGTCGTAATCTACGTAAATGTTCCAATACAACGTATTAATGTTCTATTCAGTTCTTTAATATTAAAATAGTATTTATCTGTATGCCAAGATACTTTAAAGTATAAATGCCCAAAATAGTACCCCTAACAAGCAGTTAGATACTAAAAGTATGCTTTATTCTTAGTGAGAATGTATAGGTAAAGAATAATATTCTGAATATTTGTTATTGTTGTTTTGTTCTTGCGGTGGTCATGCCATAAATCCCATTTTATTATCAGTTTAACAAATACAGAATTGAAATACATACAAACATGTTGGGATTTGTATATACTTACATATTTGTACAAACAGGAGTATAATATATGAAACAATATACACACTGAGAGTAGTATTAAGGCTATATTTCAAAGCCAAAAGTCATATGGTATATCTGTTGATTCCACTGACATATACAACCCTCTTTATTTCTATGGATTACAATTGCAAAAGCCAGTTTAATTTAGATAAGTAGGAAATGACGTGGTTTATACAGGACCACCTTTCATTCCAAACTATTTCAGTTTAGCTTAATGCTTAAAATAATGGTCAGACTCATACACTGCACATTTCGAGGCCTAAACCGTTTAAAGTTTTGATGTGTGCAGGAAACAAAATAAAGTTTTTTTTTGGTTGTTTCAAAGTAAAAAATTATGATTTGTATTTATAGTAAATATATATATATATATATATATGATTATATGATTATAAAGCGGGAAATATTTAACAAGGTGATAGATGTATATGAAGGGGGGTAAATAGAGATAATATAATATGTAATTAAAAGAGATAAAGAAAAGATATGCTTTTCATTTTAGTGGTTTACAGTAAAGATTTAATAGCCTACACCGGACATAATACCGTAGCCAAGGGTAATGATCAAGACGGTACAGACAATACTGACAGGGATACCAGTAATAATAAAGTCCTTTGTGGTAAGGTATGGTTTTCCTGTTGGGCTTTCTAACATGATTGCTGACATGTTTGGATAGCCAGATACGGGAAGACCCATGCCTGCAGAACAAGCAAGACCAGCACCCATCACCAACAAGTTGGCGTGAGGGATAGGAAGCTGCTGACCGACCTGTTGGACAATAGGAACAATGATGAGGGCAGCGACAGTATGGGAGACAAAGGTAGAGAACACAAGGAGCAGGCAGGCAAAAATGGCGAGAATAGCAATGGGAGGAAAGTCCTGGATACCATCCTTGATACGCATAGCAATATCCTGGAGAAGGCCTGAAGATGTTACAGCATTACCAAGAGCCATACCACCCTGTGCCAAAACAATGACAGACCAGAGGAAAGCGTGGAGATCTTCTTTGTTGAGGATGCCGGCACCAAAGAACATGAAAAGAGGGATAGCAGCGATGATACCAGTATCACCAATGTGATCTTGAATGCTCGACTCAGCACACCAGAGAGCAATGGTGAGAATGGTAATAGCCATAATATAGACCTGGGATAGGCTGATGGGGTCGTTGGTAGTCTTAACCTTGTTAAGATGAGGACTAGCACGGTCAGGGCGGTAAACCATAAGAAGCATACCCCAGCAGACAAAGATACAGATGATAGAGATTGGCAGAGCAACACCAAACCAGATACCCCATCCAGGGTCAGGGTTCATGTACTGCAAGGTAACGATGTTCTGAGGGGAAGAGATTGGAGAAGTCATGCCACCAATACAACTAGCAAGAGCGATACCAAGAATCAGGCAGGGACCAACAGGAGAGTTATCGGGTAAGGTGCGAAGGATAGGGTTGATCAAAGAGAAACATAATACGGGAGTTGCAACGTTGGAGATCCACATACAAAGGAAGGCGGCAACAAGCATGATTGTCAAAAGAACCCAGCGAGGACGTGTACCTGCACGCGAAAGGACATGGGTTGCGAATGCCTTTGCAATACCATACTTGGAAAGGGCAGCAGCAATAGCGAAGCCACCTAAAAGCATCATGATAGTGCCACTAAACATTGAGCTAAATACAGCCTTGGCAGCTGCCTTGGCGGCCATCTCAGATCCGTCGGTATTGCGTAAGATACCAAGAGGGACAACCAAGAAAGGAATTAGGAGAGAGGTTGCATACAGGGGTACTGCCTCGGTGGCCCACATGATTGCAGAAAAGATAAGGAGAGCAAAGCAGTAATTTTCATTCTTGTTGGAAAAGATGTCAACATTGAGAAGAACGGCAAAAACAATGACAGCAAACAAGAAGCAAAGTGATCTGCGAAGAAGGTCTGAAGTGATTCGTTTGTTGATCAAAGGAAGCTTGTATGTCTTGACTGGGGTTGTGTCTTTTACGTGGGCATCGAGCATCTTGCGCTCCTGGCTGATCATGTCCTTCCAGACTGTGTTGCGGTCATAGGTGATCTGGTCACGAAGATGGGTCTTCATTTGACGGACAGCAGCAGGAACATTTCCGTGGCAGAATGTGTCAGCATAGATGCGCTCTACGCGTTCGATCTGGGAGCGAAGGGCTTCGGTTGTCTGGGGCATGAAGGGACGAGAGTCAAGAACCATCTTCTTGAGATATTGTTGGCGAAGGTCGCTCTCGAGAACCTTGTCATGCTTTTTCAGGATCTTTTCGAATGCACTACGGTTAAGATCAATATAGGACTCGAGCTCAGACAAAGAAACGTAAAGAGAGATCAGCTGGGAGCGAAGATCGACAAGTGCTTCAACATTAATCTCAGCGTCTCCATCAATTGTCATACGGGACTCAAAGGACATTTTCCGTTTTCCGCTGTGAATTTTATCGTGCTCATGGGTGACCTTTATGGGGGCGTTGTATGTTGAATCAAGGGTCTCAAGTGCATTGGGCTGTAAGTGACGGACATTAGGAGAGTCTGTGCTGTGTAGATGTCCATTGGCCATGAGAGTAGCTTCGATTTGATCAATTGAGCTGTAAAGCTCATATTCTTTCTGGGTATAAAAGTCAAAAACTTTCTCAAGTTGCATGTCGAGTTCATGTAAGAATACAGATTCCCGAGATTCGGTTTCTGTGTGAGCCTTTTCGGGATCCTGGCTGTTGTTAGCAGCCTCGACTCGTTCTTTCTCCTCCTGGAATATCAATTTCTTGAGGTGGTCATAACTGTGCGGTAATTAAATAGGTGAGTTATCAGATTGTATAAGATTGAGATGTCAAATAACTTACGCCACATATTTGTCAATCCAATCTGGGACTGCGTTGAATTGCAGTGAGTGAGAGAATTTCATTTGATAGAGAAAGGGTTTGTAGAGAAGGAGGTAAAGAAGGGAAAAAAGTGGAGTATTTAAAGAAGTTTAAAATTATTGAGAAAACGGCTGCCTTGTAATTTGAAAGAATTGACGGACAAATACGCCAAAGAAGTCATAGACTCCGGTTTCAAGAGTAGCCTTGCGTTACTGCTTTAAGCTTCAGGTTACGGTTATGATTGGCTCATCAGACCTCACACTACCTCACGTGTAGCCATGGCAGCCATTTTTATTCGTCCGATCTTTAGGTTCTGTCCAATAATATCCACAAAATAACCCACACGACCATACACGTTTGGAAATTCGCTGGAACTTAACAAAACGGGGAATTTGGGGTCCTATTATTAGTGCAATGAGAGAATCCAGGGAAGGAGGTAGAGATACCTAAAAAAAAAAAAAAGAACCTCTTACATTGCTGTAGCCCCGTCAGCCAATCATTGTCCACACGTGTAGACCCAAACAATAATTAATGGATCTGATACTTGTAGTCGCCAGAAATGGACTGTGGGTCCTGTAACGGTTTGGTTATTTTAATGGCGCGTGGTTTGTTAAGATGTGTTTGTTACAGGTAGTATAGATGTACGAGGGTAAAACATGTAGATGACATCTAATACGTATTGTTTTGTATTTATTCCTTTTTCATGACTATATTATTATCATTATTATTTTACTTGCTGATTAATAAATGTACAGAATCAGAGCTCTTTATTTATCATATGTACACTATTAGACTTTTCAGTTGGAATCAAGAGTTCACAAAAAGCTGCAAAGAATTTAGAGCACAAAGATTACAAACTTAAAGGCTTCTACAAACACTATGTGCCCTGTACACTATTATTTATCCAATTACTAAACAATACAATACAATTATGTATATGTATATATGTATAATCACAAATCTGTAGACAATAGTTTTTTTTTACATATATTCTTTACTGAAAAACTTTCCGGTATTTAGAGGTCGGGATCACGGTTTACCGGAGTTGGTCCGGTACACCTGTTACATTAACCTTGGTTACCATCGGATTGGAAGGAAGCGAGGTTTCTCCGGTTATCCAAAAGGTAAAATGGTAAACTTGGATTGGCTTGGCTTGAAATCTGTGTTTTTTTTTTGTTTTTTTTTTTGGTAAAGGGCAATGCTTAGCAAATATTACTGATGCCTTGTATTGAATTTCTTTTATTTTACAGAGTAATAATATAATAGAGACGTTCAAATACTAGATAAGAATAGTTCAAATATTTACAATATGTGCACAAAGAGTAGAGAAAATGAAGTGTAAAAGTATAGGTAAAAGTAAAAATGTTACTCGACTAAACAAAATGCCAAAGGGAAATCAGGATATTAGTAGTAATCATATATGTTCTATTTGGATTGAAACATATTATTATAATTATTAGTATGAGTATTTAATATCGAATCAGTAAATATAGTATACATATGGCTGGATATTATATGTTTCAATTTGGTGGATTTACACTTACAAAATGTATATGTTTCAAAAGGCGCAAAATCCTTGAAATATCTCCAATCATTTACATATATTTCAGAATAACCAAAACGAATAGAAACATATACAAAAGATTAAGACCAATAGATAATACCATTTGACTTTAAGGCTCCTACATAGTATTATTATTACAAACAAATTTATACTCTCATAATCGTAATAACATATGAATTATAATGAAAAGGCTAAAGTAATGTTAAATATGCTGTAATATTTCAGCCTTGTATGCGTTCAATGGGTGCATATGTACAAGCATACAAATTCTAGAGGTATTCTATATAGTCAAGCCTAAATCGCTATCTTCTATAAACCAAATTGTTTCAATCCAGGCTTCTATAGCAAAAGATTTTTGTATTCCAAGTACACACTATAAATTAAAAGCTTTATAATACCAAAACTCAGACACTTTTTTTTTGTAACCTGGATCCGTAAAAACTTATCGATCTTGTAACTCAGCGTGGTGTCGAGTGGTATTATAAACCTGTGTGTATAACCTTGGTAATGTAGAACGATCAACTTCTATTCATGGTTTCCACCATTTCTATATGGTACATGCCTTCGAATACTTGGTTTTTGCACCGCTTATTTGTATAGTCTCTCTGTCCCCATAGTTTTGTGTATTTGTCCTGCCTTTCGGCTCTTTAACCCTACTGACGATATGGTTGACTACAGGGTCCCAATTTGTTCTATAATTTATTTTTACACACAAAAGCCATTGTATTTTCTTATTTTGGAATGATAAATATTTACATGATTTTTTTTTAAAAAAAAAAAAAAGACTAAAATAATTCTAGTGCATTACTAGTGCATTACTTGCAAAATATGCTTAAAGGATTCCAAGTAAAAATGATACTGAATGACATTTAGTTCTCTTTTTTTCTTCTTCTTCGCTAGGTTCGTTTCTTTGAACTTCTGATTATAGAATTACATAATTATGTCCACGTTATTGAGTGTAAGGGCGTGATAGACCATCTATTGTCACTCAGTAAAAGACGAAAGAAATTGTAACCTAGTACTTGTTTGGTAAAGATCCAAGGTCTATAGTTTCAATTATCTTTTTTTTTACATCCTTTAATTATTACCGTTATTATTATGTCTATTATTTTATGAGTAGTTTGAAAACAGAGGCAATATTATTTTACACTTTCTGTAATGCAGCAACAATTTTTGATTCTATAGCCTCGATATCTCGGATAGGCTCTGCAATACGGCCCTGAGCATACTCCTTCTGTCCACCTCCACCTCCTTTGACATGTTTCAAGACATGTCTCAAGATCTAAACCGTTTTTAGAATACAATAAGATACCAATGATTAATGATTTTTGATCAAATAAATAATAATAATAATAATAATAAACTTCCAAAGCTTTATAGTTTAGTGCTTTTAGTCATATTTTACTTACAGTATTGGCGGTTTCTTGTTTGATCTTTTTGGCATCCAATGCAACAACGATATTATTACCATTAACCAGGATATGAGCAGAGCATGGTTGACTTTCTTTGAGAACATTTGCTCTCTTTTGCATGTAGCTTGCATCTAATTCTGGATCAACCAAATGGATCTTTACAGGAATATCTATAATTCGCCATTAGTGAATACAGATCCACCCATTTCTTGTTTTTAATAAAACAAGAAATATATATAATACCTTTCATTGTAGACTCTACAGGCGGTACAATTACTTCTCCAGCAGAAGCCAGTTTTTCAGTCATAAAGTCCAGGCGTTTCTGAAGATCTTTCGTCTGTTGCATTGACTTGTCTAGTTTCCCAACCATTTCATCCGTTGTGTTGGCCTAGCGTATAGAAAGCGAGTGCGAGTGCGAATGAGAAATATTGTATATTTACTCTAAACTGTTTTACTATCTTTTGTACATGTACACTTACCCGCAACATTTTTAGCACCTCAGGTACAGGCTCATAAGCCTTTCTATACCATTTCACACAAGACAACCCAGCCACAGCCTCAATGCGACGTGTTCCTAAATAACATTAATATGAGTGAATGCAAATATATATTATATTTATATACATAGTTTAAAATTGTTCTCATTTTATTACCTGCGGCTACCGATGTTTCTGTTAGAATCTTGAATGGGTACAGTTTACGGATATCATCTACATGTGTACCACCACACAGTTCCTTGCTTACACCTTCTACTTCTACTACACGGACATCCTCTCCATATTTTTCAGAAAAGGTGGCAACAGCACCCATTTTCATAGCATCAGCCAGTTTCATGTGCTTTAAAAGAATTTAGTATTTACTTTAGCTTACAAAACAAGAAAACTTTAAAAAAAAACTCCCACCTTAACAGACATAGCACCACCATTAAGTGCAGCTTCGTTGACCCATTCTTCAATCGAGTGCAGTTGAGAAGGTGTCAATGGTTTTCCATAAGTGAAATCAAATCGTAATTTCTGGGTTTCCACAGTAGATCCTTATCACGTACACTCATACTTAATACACAGATGCATACCAATTATCGCCTTTCACGCCTTATTACCTGCTTGAACAATATCTGTCTTGAGGACTGATCTTAAGCCTGCATTGAGCACATGTGTCGCGGTATGATGTACTTCAGCTCCCTGGCGATTTTCTATATTAACTGTAGCATCAATTTGTTGACCAATCTAAACAGTTTAGGGTATGTCAGTTCAAAAATATAAGACACTCTATATTATAAAACACCCCAAATCACAGTACTAATTTTTTATATTGTCTACCTGGAAGAATTCTTGGTCTCGTTTAATAAGAGATTCAATAGTTTCATCCTTGGCAATATTGGCAGGAGTTAACTTGAGAGCTAGACAACCATCATAAGGCTGGAAAACATCTGTAACATCCCAGCGCTGCCCATTTGCAAGAGTAATATAACCTGAATCAGCTACTTGTCCACCACCAAGACCGTAAAACGGACAAGGATCAATAGCAATATTGACTGTCATCTTCTTTCCTAAAAGACCAAAAAAAAGTTATAAGCTCTATATTTTGTTACTATTAGTTGAAACCCACCTTCCATTACAGGTTCGACTGCAACAATCTCAGAGGTTTGATGCAACATGGAACGATCATATCCACTGAATTTCGGCATAATATTTTTGTTACGCCATTCTAAAGCGAACATTATGTATGGATTTAAAGATTATTATTTTTGTATACTTTTGGTAAAGTTAGAATGATATTTACCTGCCAGCCTAGCTTTGTTAGTAATTGCATCGACCTTCCAAGACTCTCTTCCCAGTTGTTTCTGCTGTTCTTGAAGCGCTTCTACCGCTAAAATATAACCAAAATTTCAACCCTGTTAGCTGTCAATTTACTAAAAGAGGCTTCTTTGTTTCTTTTCTTTATCTTTTAATCACGTGCGCTAACCTTTAATATCCACTGTCCAGCCCTTTTCTTTAGCAATAATCAAAGTCAAGTCGAACGGAAAGCCAAAGGTATCATAAAGTTGAAATGCGATTGCGGGAGGGATTGCTTTAGATCCTTGGAGATCTGGTTGGCTAAACACGTTTTCAAGAAGAGCCATTCCTCGGTCCAAAGTAGCCAAAAATGATCGCTCTTCGTTAGTTACTACACTACGGATAGACGAGGCTCTGGATGTAAGTTCAGGATAAGAACCATCTTCGAATCCGGCCAACAGATGCGGGTACAAATCAGTCAAGAAAGGCTCTAAGGAAAAAATATGGGTTTAGCAATTATTGCAAAGAAAATAAGATAGCAAAAACTTACCGTGTATCCCTAACTGGCGAGCCGATCGAAGTGCACGACGAATAATGCGGCGCAAAACATAACCTCGCCCAACGTTACTGTTCAAGCGATTTTTTTTAAAAAAAAATTAATTACATTTCCAGATAAGCAAGCAAAAGCTTACCTTGGAACCACGCCATCTCCAATCAAAAAACACATGGCTCTAAAGTGATCAGCGATAATCTTCTCATGTGGATTAGGATCTACAGAAGAAATACTCTTTGTCAATAGTTAAATCACCAGTTGATCACCAAATAATCTATTTCTACTGTTGCTTTAAGCTGTACCTCTATTCCACGGGTTTTCATCACTTGTCTCAAGCCTCCAATCAATGTCTCGAATTGATCGATTTGGAAGTTGTTATTCTTGCCCTATATAAAACCCATCAGCATATTATGCATAACAACATAGTGCATCCTACCTGAAGGACGCACACCATTCGCTCTAGTCCCATGCCAGTATCGATACAGGGAATAGGCAATTTCGTAAGCTTTCCATCGGCCTCACGATAGTTTTCCATAAAAACAAGGTTCCAAATCTCAAGCCACCTTCAAACCAAATTATAATAATCACAAAACATTTTTCAATATCTTCTAGAAAAAACAAAATCAACTAACTTTTTCCATGATATTACCTTTCGTCTAGGGTATCATCTTGGGTATCCCAAAAGATCTCAGTACACGGGCCACAAGGTCCTTCGCCATCTCCCATACTCCAAAAGTTATCTTCTTCTCCACATCGTACAATCATATCATCACTCAATCCCTCGTTTTTCCAAAGCTTATAACCTTCTTCGTCTCCTTCTAAAATACTAATGATCTCTGGATCAACAACAACACTTTATATATTGTCTTTTTTTTTGCTTTTAAATAAACAACATACGTGACTCTGAGACGGGATAAAGGCAGCTTGAGTTCGTCGACAAGGAAGCGCCATGCATAACGAATGGCTTCTTTTTTAGTATATTGTCCAAATGAAAAATTTCCCAGCATCTCAAAAAAAGTATGATGTCGAGCAGTGTAGCCGACATTGTCAAGATCGTTGTGTTTTCCGCCGGCACGCATGCACTTCTGAACACTTGTTGCAGCTTTAAAGGGTGCTGTGTCTGGTTTGAGAAAAAAATCTTTAAATGGGACCATTCCTGCATTTGTGAAGAGCAGACTCTTGTCATTATGAGGAACCAAGCTGGCACTTTTGATGGGTACATGTTGCTGCGTCTCAAAGTAATTTAAAAATCGAGCACGTAGCTCAGGAGAAGTTAATTGCTGGATCAGACGTCTCTGGGTCCATGAAGTGCGATGGCGTGCCTGAGCTAGGTGAAGGCGTGTCAGGTACATGATAATGGTTGCTCTGTGACAGGACCCTGGCAACCCGAGAAAAGAGAATCCAGGCGGACTTGTCATGACTTGCTTTTCTTCACACTCACTGATTTTTTTATACGTTTTAGGAAGTACATATGTTTAATAAGAGAAACTATAGAACAAATATGAGCTTCGATCCCTTGCAAACGAAAATACTTTGATTTAATAGTTGCCTTATTCACTGATTGCTTTTGAATATAACCCAGTTTCTTTATTAAATTTTGTTAGCTATATTCAAATCCTTCTTATTTCTTTTTAGCAGACTGGACACAATAGGTGGTTTTAGTATTTGTTTATCATTTTTTTATGATATTTAAGAAAGACTGACATTGAGCCTCCCTTTTTAACTTTCTAGGTATATATATAAGCAGAGGGAAGAAAGAGGAACCTTTCATATTATATATAAAGAATCAGTTGTCTTATCTAGAAGCCAGAAAGCTTATCAAAAATTAGAGCACCTTATACTTTCAAAAACCACTCACAAATTAGCAAATAAAATAAAATGTTAAAATCGTCAAGCTAAGCTACTTTTTTCAACATTTTTTTTTTGAAAGAGCCTTGCTAACCAATCAATACCACTTTTAATCTCAGAAAGATACAGTAAAACATATTTGTAAGGCGAATAATTCGAGAAGATAAGACGCATTTTTGGGATAATTTTTTTTTTTCAAAACCTTTTTTATTTATTTAAACAAAAAGTTTAGTATACATTATGTAAAGAATAGTGCCAAAATGATTAAGAACTTAATAACTTAGGAATACTTTTCTGTACTGCTTATTTGAAAAGAAGATCCATTTATAACGGTTAATATCTCTTAAAAAAATACGCCTTAAGTCCTCGGATTGTGCACCTTGTATAGTGTGTTTCACTGTAGTTAGGGACCAGATAGAATTACTGGATGTCAAACGAATCACTTTTTATGTGTCCGGTATATTGTAACAAGCGGCGATTAAATAAACGTAGTGTTCCAGAGAAACGTCGTGCCCGAGAGAAAAAGGGTCGGGTCCGAATAATTGCCGAAATTTATCTTTGTTGTCGTCGTCTTTGGAACAGAGATATAGTAGCCACTTTAAAATTCCGGTATATTCATTTCAGCTTTGCGTGAAAACTACAAAAGACCAGAAGGTTTTTGTAGATTGAACAATGCTTCCCGTCGACTGACCACCAAAAAAAAAGGAAAAGTTCTCTCTCAATTGGCAGTAGTAAACTTAAGATATGGACAAAGCTCAATTGGTCTGTTGCGGCCATCGTTATTATAAACATTGATACACTGCAAGTCTCAGAACAAGATTGACATTTGTTTTTTTTTTCTTTTTTTTTTTTTTTATCTAAACTCAACTATCTTTTATGTGCGAAACATTAGTGAAAATAGTATATGTATTATCCTATGCTCCAAAGGGGCTCTAAAGTCGGCAAGTTAATAATAAATTTGAAGCAAAGGCCTTTATATTTTGTTTTGAAACAAAAAATTGAATTAATATTACGTTGTAAAAATACAGAAAAAAGTGGTCGAATAAATGCAATACTCATAAAGCATTTTTTTTTACCAAGATTTTCGCAAAGGGATTATAATATGCTTATTTTTATTATAGTGGACTTCACTAAATGTGTATATATATATCGCTTACTAACATGCCTCGGGGTACACTAAATGTACCAAATAACACATAGCCATTCACCGATTTTGCTTAACTAACTGCATGGAAGTGTGGTCGTCTATTCTCTCTCTCTTTAATGCTGTTCAAAAACGCGTCACATAGACAGCGGGTGCTTCTTGGTGTAAAACAAAAATGTAGGCTGAGTGGCCCCAATTCATTCTTACATTCTTCTATTGCCACATTTCATTATGAAAGACTTGTCCATGTCCCATCCGTACAACCTTCGTGAGAGGCGTGCCGTAAAAGAAAAGGCTTCGAAAACTAGTCCTGCAAACGCCTCCACTCCGCTCGACTCTCCTCCATCGCGTCTGACAGTAACTTTACCTGTCACTAAGCGACGTTTTTCAACTGTTAACTCCAAGCCACGTAAACGGATTTCACTCTCTGAACCAGTAGAGATCTACAAACCTTTACACGAATTGGCCCTGCCCATGGAGATGGAGCAATCTCCTGAGTGCCATGAATTTATCATTGATACCCAAGGCTCACCAAAGTTGAGAAAGAAATTACCAGAATCCTTTTGGAATGATGATGACGGATCGAATGAGATCCGACCTACGAGGGAAGGATCACCACTTACCCTTCTTGGTTGGCCAGAGACTTACGAGGAAGATAAATATTATGCATCAAGTCAACCCAGCCTATCAAAATGCGAGCGAGGTTCACCGCTCTTGTCCGATAAGCCCGTGCGACGGTCATTGATGAGTGAGCTGATGATGAACGCTGAAAATGAATCAGTTGAAGAAGAACTATCGGATCAAGAGCGACGAAAAAGTTTTATACAATCTTTTATAGAAGCAGAGATGGAAGAAGACGAGCGTGCCGAAGATCTAACTGATCTCCCACCCATCACAGCACCCCCACCTCGACGTCCATCAGGGCACTATGAAAGTACATTTTCATCAAATGCAGCCTATGATGATGATATCGATGCCTTTTTCTCAAATTCGCATGCTGAAGATAACGGACCCGAGTTTGTCCTTTCGGCTGCCTATAAGATGTCTCTTCTTCACAACAAACCACATCGACAAGATTTCATTACACTCCAACCACACTTTCTGACAGCAGAATACTTTAAGACACACAAACCAAATGATGGACAGCCAGCTGTGGAAGAAGAGGATGAAAGAAAGGTGAATCCGGCGCCGTATTACAGCTACCAGTTTAAATTTATGGGTCGCCTGGGTTCAGGGGAATACGCTGATGTGTGGCGAGCGCAAGATGTGACGACCCAAAAATTGTACGCCATCAAGCAAACACGAGAACAGTTTACAAGCCAATCTGACAGGTGGTTGCTTCTAGCTGAGGTAGAAAATCTACATGCTGTCAAAGGAAGTCCACACTGTGTTGAGCTAGTTAGTGCGTGGGAACAGGAAGGATACTTGTTTATACAGATGGAATTATGTGAAAGTGGAAGGTAGGTTTGACTCTTTGGGCCAAATACAGTTATCTCATTCCTTCCTTCCTTTCTTCCTTATTTTTCTTTTCTTTTATTTATTCATTTATTTATTTAGCTTAGCAGAATACATTAGCCATAAGGATGGACAAATAGAGGAAGATGTTTTGTGGAATATTATTTATGAGCTGGCAAAGGTAAGCACATATTGCTTGATTGTACATTAAGTTTACGAACACCTGGTGTGCATATGAATTTTTGGCTTGTGTACTTTTAGGGATTAAGAGATATTCACAATGCACAGGTTGCACACTTGGATCTCAAACCATCCAATATACTGCTTGATGAAACAGGCAATTTAAGGATAGGTGACTTTGGGTTCTCTCTTCAATGTTCTGGGGTAACTTTACCTTACTACTTGTATTTGGTTACAAGAAGAAGAAACTAAAAGAAAAATGTTAACCACAGGAACCCAGAGATATTCGTGGTGAGGGAGACAGACGATATATGGCACCCGATCTTTTAAAGGACCATTTTGATATGCCTGCCGATATTTATAGGTACACCCAAAATGATTGTTCTGAACATAACTGATTTATATATATATATATATTTTTCAGCTTTGGGTTGATTCTGTTGGAGATGGTAACCCGTACTGTGCTACCTGACACTGGCGAGTCTTGGGAGATGCTCCGTCTGGGTGACTTCTCGGACTACAAAATGACCCATGTGTCGCAAGCACTTCAAGACTTGATCCGGCGGCTGTTGACCCTGAATGAAAAAGACCGGCCGACGGCTCAGGAACTCCTGGACCATGATGATCTCAAACGCTTCAAAGCCCAGGACTCATCTCCGCATAAGGGTGCTTTATATGAATATGTTAAAGAGATCCAGGACATGTCTGGGGATGGGGAATCTAGGCTCAAGAGGCAAGACACTTATAGTACGCCTAAAATGAAAACAGACCATTGCTGGTATTAAACACTTTTACACACACAAAAAGGTCTTCTTGATCAATGTTCAACGCGACTGTGTGGAAAACTTGACCAAGAATAACTTTAAACTCCATGCTGACGTGATTCCGCAAAAAACACAACCCTAAGGAATCCAAAAAAAAAGAAAGAAAGAAAGATTAAGGGGGGACAAAAAGTCTAAAAATGGATACCAAGCCATTTTCCCCCCCTTTTTTCTTTTCTGCCTTTGTAGCTTATTATTTTATTTTTCTCATCTTTTTCTTCCTTCCTCCTCCTCTTCTTCTTCTTCTTTTTCTTCTTTTTTTATTTTACATTTCTTCTTCTTCATTGCTGTCTCTTCAATGACAACTTCTACTGCCAACGATACATATAGTGTTCAAGGTGTACAGTCCAAATTCCAGGAGGGTCTGACACGCATTGACAAGGAGTTGTCGCAGTACAAATATGCAAATGAGCTCCAGAGACGTACTGGTATTCCCAAAACCTATTTTGTTGTAGCTGGCGCAGGTGTTATATTTTTGATGATCTTCTTCAACCTCGCTGGCCAATTGTTGACCAACTGTATTTCATGGGTCTATCCTGGTAAGCGCAGTACTCTTCGTCTCTGTGACCCATTAGAATGGCTCAACTCAAATCTCGTGTTTTGGCTGTCTGTGTAGCATACGCCTCGTTCAAGGCTATTGAATCCCCTAGCACAGAGGATGATAAGCAGTGGTTGACTTACTGGACCGTCATCGGATTCGTTCAGTTGGTCGAATACTTCTCTGACATTCTGTTGTACTGGTTCCCCTTTTACTATCTCTTCAAGACCCTTCTTGTTCTCTATCTTGCTCTTCCCCATTTCAGAGTAAGTATTGGGATTTATATTTATAATTCTACTGGTTTCCTGATCTAACCATTTCATTTCGCGTAAAAATAAAGGGTGCCGAGACTCTCTATGCTCGTTTCCTCCGTCCTTTCCTTCTGAATGCTCAGTCTGATATTGACCGCCGCACTGATTCTATCCGTAACAAGGTTGGAGAGATCGCCACCGGTGTAGCCCAGTCCGCAATTCCCAAGAGCAATTAAAGCACATAGTCATACATCGCATGCATGCATTCGTTCCTCTATCTCTATCAATAAATACATAAATAAATACATAAATAAATAAATAAATAAAAGGGAATGACCAGGAATAATAGTAATAATGAGAATTCGGGGGAGTGTATAGGAAGTGGTTATTTCAACCTGTAGGCACAGTTGAAGCGGAGCCTTCAGATTATTATTTTTTATATATTCACATGGTAGACAAGTTCGCATTGCGATATTGCACTGTGGGTGACACTGTAGAAAACCGACCAAAACGTTTTATACGTTTCAGTTCTACTTAACGAAACAGAGTTATGAATTTCTAGTTGGCACAAAGGAGTAACCTTAAAAATAAATGGCTATTTAATGATATAGCTTGACTACAGTAACGAGTTGTTGGTCTATTTGTACGCCACTTTACTTTTGGGACATCTCCAATACACAACACCTCAGTCTTCATCCCTTTTAAATAGAAGTAATAAAAATAGAGAGAACGTTTGGTTCGGCTATTAGGACGATTATGTTTGGATCTCACATTTTGCAAATGCTTCGCTTTCTTAAATATAAAGACATGGTTGAAATGTCTTGGCAGTGGTCCTTGCACTTCAGCTCAAGTCCTCAGACAAGCACACCATGGTTTGGCATATTGCAATCTAGCTGCCAATGATAATATTGGCTCTATTAACGATAGTGATACCAAGTCCAATACAGCCACACAGCTGTGCTCTGCAACCAAGAAACCCAAACAACAACTGAGAAATAGTACGTATGCCTATTTTCAGTCCCTTGTATTTCTGACTCAGTTTATGTCGGAATAAGGATAGATAACTCTAGTTGCTTTTATGTGTAGTTTGCACCGAAGTAACACCAGTACTATCAAGGCCGAGTTTAATTATTATAAGAAATAAGTAACAGAATAATGTGTGCTTTTAGACTATTGTATTAGACTTGGCTGAGCACATTTATCTAATTAGCTACAAAAATTATAAAAACAAACAAAGACACATAAAACTCAAGTCAGAGATGTTATTATTACCAGCTTATTATATGTGTATAAATATATTTACATATAGCGCTACAAGTCAGTATAATATCCAACAGAACCTTTGTGTGAATTCGAAGCATGATTCATTATCTAGTAGGCAATTTACAACACAAATCAAAACAAAAAAGTAAAATGGCTGAGAGCGCCACAAAGGTAATTCCAGAAAACGGTGCATGTCTAGTCTTTTCCGGAAAGCAAAGTTGTACGAGTCGTAAATTGAGGTCGTACTGACCCAAGAGTGAATGTTACATACATAGGCAAATCAAATGTCGCATTTCTAGGATCCAGTTATCTCACAGGTTATTTCGCCTACTATTTATTTGGAACAAGAAGGCTCTTCAAGGTTATTCACTTTGACAAGAAAAAAGGGAGGCAAAAGAAGAAAACACAAAGGTCTTTTAAAGAAAATGAATTACTATAAATGATTATACTAGAATCAAACTCGTGAATTACGGTATTGATGAGGAGCAGCATAGCCTTTAACCAAATATCCAGACTTTATACATTTGGACTTTGTATAAATCTTGTAATTGATATTAAAGGTAATCGGGCAAGAAAGAACCCATAATAGTGTATATGTAAGTCACGCCCTTGATCAGGTAAACGCACTAAATGCCTTGGTAGTTATCATAAAGTCGTCTAGCCATTAGTAACAGCTTCTCACTCTCCTATGTTATGTTGGGTAAGATCTAATGACACGGCTGTAGCTAGCTCATATCCCTAACGCGATACCATAGGCTTGTATTCAAATGAAACATTTGTGAGACCACAGCGTTTATATTTCAATGTTCTTCTATGGACTCTAATTCCTTTTACCATTGCAATTAAAATTACAATTACACCATTTGTTAATTTTTCCTTTCAGTAGTAAGTATATAATACGCTATATTATTATTCTCAAGAAGCGCAAGCATTAAAACTTTTATTCTCATTATGTATAATAAGGTATATTTAATTCACACAATATTCTAAGCATAGAGACTTTTTTTTTAAAAAAAAAATGCAACAAGTATCGTATCATTTTTCTCATAATTTGTGATTCCATATACTTTTGCACCACATTTATCAAATAAAGGTATGGTATAATCCAAAAGATGGTAGTGAGTTTAGGGAGTATATGCGAAACTATCTTGTATTCCGCTTAATGTGGATATGTTTTCGTGTGCGAAGAAAGCATATCTTTTACTGCTTGAATATATTAATGGCAGTCAGTTGGATGTGAACATCAAGTAGATACCTTATGTCTGATAAACCAAACATAGCTTTTCAAACACACGCATCTTATCAGATGGTCTATAATAATTTTTTTCTGCTTCTTCAATAGAGAAGAAAGAAAAAACATAAAGAGAGGGTGGAGATTTGGTTATAGAATATATCAGTTATGTTTAATAGAAAACTGTGTTTTTGAAACTTGCGATATGTCAAGCCCAGCTAGTTTAGTACTTTCATTAGCAATCATCCAAGTGGCATAACTTCAATAAGTGTACATGATATTTAGAATCGACCTTTTTAATTTATCTGCTATTATCGCAAGTGTATCTGTTACTATTTGCTCGGTATCATCGCTTTGGTAATCTTACATATGTGTTGAATACACTATGCTTCAGATTGTCTATTGGTTTCGTCTATATATATTTTAACAATATGACCATACGCTTGGTACAAAACCCACGCACACACACATAAAAACACTTGGCCGGTTGATTAAATTATTTCAAAAATTTTGAATATATTTATTTTTGTTTGGTTAGAAAAGGTACGAGAAATAAGCCGATTGCTTCCCTTTATCCTTTCAGGAATATATTCCTAAATGCTAATATCTGTACAATGCACTATCATTATCAATTCTATTGTAGACAAATAAACCCAGTATACAAAACACATTATTCAATGTAAGATTATTTTCAAAATTGACTTAATCAAAAATAATTTATTAAATTGATAAAATGTATACGATTTTTTCGCCTTTAAATATTTTGTCATAGAATTTTTCCAACAGCAACAAAAGAGAGAGAAACGTATTACATTTTACTTTTAACAGCTGACCAAGCTTGTTTGAGTGAATTAATCCTATTCCTGATTTCCGGTACACTAGTAATAGTATTAATAATGTATTACAGCTCAAACTCACTCTTAATTAAGACCTCTATTGTCCAATGGTTAGTTTGCTATGTGGAGCTGTAAAGTACATGTGCTCTGGTAAATTAATTGTTCATAAAAGTATTAACTTGCTAAGGGTTTTGGGAAGAATATTTTGATGTGTGTGCGTATATCCAATAAACTACTTGTGTCTTTAGAAGATATCAAGTTCACTACTATATTCATCAATACACATGTTTCCAGGGTATCAACCAGGTTATACTAAATTCTATATTCATACAAAATGAGTATTCATATAGAAAAAATACCATTTTTTTTTTCTTGGCTCTATGTTTCATAAGATCACCTTATTTGCTAATTGACAATAGAAAAAGGTCTCACAGGCTATACAGGTTTGCGAGGCAACTACACCCCGTAAATGCGGCATCTGATTTGTCTATGTTCACAACACTCCCTCCTGGGCCAGTGCGACATAAAAACTCATATATGGTACGACTTTTTCTTTCAAAAATAAAAGAGTGATAGAGACGGATCATGCACGGTTCATCTCGGATGTTACACTACACACGTTACTTGTATTTCCCAGCACTATATATAAAAACATGTAGTATTCTATCGATCGATACACAACTAGTAAGCTATCAGAATAAGATAATAGTCCAGCTGCAAGCGACTTTCTGCTCACGCACTCACAAAGTCTATATCAGAAAACATGGTAGTATACTTGATATACACCAATAAATAAGTAGAGAATATATATATATATATATATATATATATATATTAATAAAAGATAATGTGTATTATTCCATTAGCTTTAGGTCTTATATTATTTAATTTAAAGACTTTCAAAGCCATGGTATCATTGTTTTTGTTAGATATCTTATCTGACAAATGTTTAGGATATTAAAGAAGTGTTTGAATATGAATTCAAAAATAATATCAAATAGTTATTTTACCAATAATAATAGTAATCACAGACATTGAGAAAACTGCCCAAAGCATATTTTGTCTGTCTGGCTGGCTGGCTGGCTGGCTGGCTATTATTATTATTATGATGATGGAAAGAAGGTTTCATTTAATTTACCCAGCTACATATTAATAATAAACGCAGACCATTGTGTGTGTGTGTTATGAAAAATGGAGAGGAATAAGGGCAGCACGCAGGTGTGAGTGCGAGCGTCTATGGATATGAATGCAGGTGCTTAAAACAAGTGGTGGGTTCACAAAAGAAGAGAAAAGAAGAAGAAGAAGAAGTATAGGAAATGCACTGACAGACATACAGAGATACAATATATAAGAAAAAGGGTAGCTAATGATGGGAGAGTATTTAAAGGTGAGCTGCAGACACTTGTTTGATGTGTTTCCTAGATTGACAGGAAAAGAAGGGGGGAAATGATCAATGAAGGTTGCTCAATAGACATTCTACAGTCTGTTAAAATGTAATGTCTAAATAATAATATTAAATAACCAAAAAATAAAATAAAAGAGGCTTTCCCACGCATACCTGTAAACAAATTACAGAATTGACAGACAAATATGTGTGATGAGAAAATATAAGGGGATATTATTGCAGGCAATGGATGCGCAAATCAAACTATAAGGGGAGGGAGGGAGAGAAAAAGAAAACTTCTTTACAAAAAATAAAATAAAATGCAATCAACTAAAAGTGTACATACATCTAGATGTAACATGTACATATATAAATCATTCTATAATAAAATGCTCAACTGAACCAATCTGAATTGCTGCATACCCTCTAAGGAGGTCTTCTTTCCAATATGCCTTGCTTACATTAGGTGTCCAAAACCGCACTCCTCCAAGTAGACTGGTGACTGACATAAACATGCGCCATTCTGATCTAAAGTAGCCCTCGGTGTATCTTGCTTCTGATTTATTTAATTTCCAAAATACAGGTCGACTAGGTGTCTCTTCTGAAAGATACCAATGATACCAATCTGGGGACCTGGTAGGAGGCGGTGCGCAACAATCTCTGAGCTGAGTTTGTTGCCATCGATAATTAGATGTAGAGTCATTATCTTTGAGCTGAATAAAAGACAATAGATTCATACGTGCCCGGTCAAAGTTACTTGGTGACTTTAGTGCATATAGCTCCACAGATCTCATCAGTAGTGTGTCGAGATGTGTAAAAGGCATATCGATAGGCAAGCCCCCGCTTGATTTCTGCCTCGTACCTTGGATAGCAACTCTAATCAAGCACAGCCGTCGGAGTATACGACACCTTTCCGAGAGATAGCCAAAGAACGAGCTCGAAATACTGGTGTTCTGGAGTTCCACAAACCGCAGTCCGTGCATAATAGTATTTGGAGATATCTTTGGATTGACTGAAAGATACTTGATGTCCAATTGTAACTTCTTGAGAAACCTACAGCTGTCCAGAAGACTATCGATATCAATCGCTAGCTCAGGTGCAATAAGATTAAGATCCACAAGGAGAGTACATTGTCCGAGTGTGGTAAGCAAAACAGGGAGCTCTATAGAACTATTGATGAATCTTAGGATGATCGACTCAAGGCAGCCAAATGAAAACAGGACCCTCTCGCTCTTCCCGTCTGTAATAATGGCTGGTTCATCAGCTTCTCCATCCGTAGAATATTCCAGATATTTGAGAGGAGTGTCGTAGTGGCGAAGCCAGTCGAGTATATGACTTGAGAATGGACTGTCGAGAATATTCAGCTTGAAGCATTCTGTCTTTTGGAAAGCATTCTTTAATGACCCAAACAATGAGGTTGCTTCATCTAGATGGCCCTTTTTGTCGCTTGGGTACTTCATCAGTTTCCAGTCGAGTGAGGATAGGTTAGGAGCCTTGATGGCCCAGTAATACAGCCACCGGAGGTCCCATGAAGGAATCTCAAAAGACACACACATCAGCTGGTTCGACGGTTTGAGATCTCTGAGACGTGCTATATCCTCTTGTGATATATCTCGCATCTTTGCAGTCAACAGTAAGGTCTTTAGGTGGGGAGTACTGGTGAGAAGGGTTTCGAGATCATCCATGCAGAATGGCTCGCGGTCCTTGAATGAGTCATAGGTTAGCTTGAGCTGAGTGAGAGCAGGTAAACAGGACAAGGCACTGAAAAAGGCGGGCACGGTTGTCTTATCACCGTATATGTGAAAGCTCAGTTGTTTCAAGCTTTTCCAGTGACGCCAATCGGTAACGCTGGGTGGATATCTACAGAGCCAGATATCTTTTTCAACGCAAAAGGACTTGATTGATGGAAAGCGCTGCTCCATCAAACGGCATATTCCGGCAACACTGACTGAGTACGCTGACAGGGTCAATTCCTGAATGAGCTGTCTGTATCCCCTATTGGATTCTGCTGAGCCAGACATCTTTTCGCACAATGCCCAGAGCTGCCAGTTTCCCTTGATATCAATCGGATTCCATAGCGATTCTTCGAAAGGTTGGGACCATGTTCTGCAAACCACAGAGCCTATCCGCTTTTCCTTGGGAGGTAGAAAGCTAGCAATGTGGAAGAGAATTTCGAATGGAAGTTGAGTTGCTAACATGAAAAGGAAAAGAAAAGTGCTGCATTAACCCATGAGGCTCAGTTAATGGGTATCAATGGTGATCTCGAGTTTGTACACACCAAGGACCTGTCAGCAGGGGAAGGGGTGTAGATAGAGAAATAAAGAAAAAGAGTGTGTGTATAAGAGAGAGAGAGAGAGAGTGAATTAGTGAGTGAGTGAATTAGTGAGTGAGATAGAGGGGGGGGGGGGGGGTGAATATAATTAAAAAAAAAAAGAGAAAAGAGTTTGTGCATGTGTCACAACCTGAGAGCAATGTATCAGTCATTATTTCCTTTCTTTATCTCTTTATCTCTAACACTCTTTTGGACCGAGCTTGGTCCACATGCTTTGGTTCCGCTTGTAAATCCGTGTCTAAGAACGGCCCGTGCTTTTGAATTTTTGTCTGATCTAGTGCTTGGTTGGTGTTTTGTTTTGTTTTGTTCTGCAGGATAGACAAGTTTATTATCATAATCAACCTTTAATTTTTTTTTAATCATAGCTACGATTATAATAATTATACTTGTAATTGCTGGATACGATAAACCATCATTCCTTACTAAGCTTGATAAATTACACTCAATTTCACTACCAGTCTTTAAAGAAGAAGAAGAATAATAATAAATGTACGTTTGGCTATACTAAGAAAAGTCCAAATGATATATCTATAACTGAAACTATAAAGATATTTGGTCTCAGTAGAAACATGATTTTACATAGACACACGCAGATAACGGCAAAGACGACTTTTCATCAATGTATTGCATCAGATCCAGCTTTCTTTATTTTATTTTAGTTTTGTTACAGAAATTATCACATGAGAAAAGTTTGTCTTGGTAATGCCTGCTGTAATTAATTCAAATTCTTGTATTATCTATAGATAGAAAATACTAATCATTTATCATTATTTTTTGTAAGTCTTGGTAACATTTTCTGTTTTTCTTTCTTTAAATAAAAAACAAAGCAATACTCCACACAAAATATAATAGATTCCTGCATTGTGTTTATGCGTATGATAAAGCAGGTGCAATCAAAGGGGAGTTTGGGGGGAGAAGAAGGGAGAAGGGAAAACATTCTTATCAAATCGAGATTCTTGATCAATTACAACCAAAATTATATTTTATTATTCTAGAAAGAAAGAAATACAGAGACAGTCTAATTATGAATAGGTGAAATAAACTAATAGGCATGTCCAAGTACCAAGCCAATAAGTTTGATTGAATGTCAAATAATTAAAATGCTAATGATAGTAGTAGTAGTAGTAGACGAAGACTTTACACACTAAAATAAAATCACACCTCTCAATTGGGGTGGACACACAAGGAAAGCTGATTTGGCAACACTCCTTTAGATTCAGTGGTCTAACTACTATTACCTTTTTTCATTAGTATTATGCCTTGGTATTTCAGTGTCAGACTAAACCTTTTAAGCTCTATATGTACCATTGACAAGGAACTACCAAAATTTATCTATATATATAGTTGTTTTGTACACATAGAATACCTTTCAAGCCAAAATTAAATAAATTAATATATATATATGTATAAATGTATGCATGCATATATACGTGCTTATGTTGTACAGAGAGTCCCTTTAAAAGAATATTACCAGTATTCTCTCTCTCTCTCTTTTTGTTAAAGAAGAAAACAATGTATACATAATTCATGCTATATTGACTTATGGTACAGTGTCGACAGTTGGTTTGAACAAATTTACCCTTGACTGGTACGGTTACCAAAACTCATTGAACTTGAAATTGTTTTCAATTCATCTATATATCTTTTGATTATATATATATATATGTATGTATTTGAGACCCTGAATATCATGGATCAACAACCAACTAAACTCAAGACTCATACACTATGTTAAAAAAAAAGATCAATTTTGGTAGGACATTTTTTACAAGATTCTCTAGGATTTATGGGTTGTTTTTAAGGTTGCATTTTAATTAAGCACTGATTTTATTTTAAAGAAAATTGTATTAAATGTATGTTTCAATTTCAATTTTTCTTATTTTTCTTCTTCTACTATCAATATACACTATAGAAGAAGAAGGGCGATTTTATTGTTGATATTGTTGCAAGTTTTCTAGGGTTTAAGGTATGTTTTTTTTATAGTGGAATTTTAACCAAGCACTATTTTTTTTTCTTTTATATATATTCACTTTTTATCCCACCATGTATTTCGCAGTCAACACAAAATCATCTTTGTATCCTATCACCTCAAAGAATAGAAAATTATTCAAAGAATGTAATAACTAACAAAATGGGCATATTGAAGATCCCCTGGCGATAACCAGCCCATAGAACATATATATATATATTTGGAGCTTGCCAACATTACTTTCCCAAAATTACTCTTCAGGTCATCTTTTGCTAGTCTTTAAGTTGTTCAGATTTGAATGACACGCGTGAATCTATCAGGAATACTACAGTTCTATTCCAATTGTTCAAGTAGATCAAGTCCAAAGGTAGCAGCACGGTCTCTATTTCACAAAACCAAACCAAACCAAAGCCTTGATTAAGCAACCAAAGATTAAGAAGAGATCACTATATTTTCGCGTGATTTCTCAATAACCACTTTGCCTTTATTCTTTCTGTCAAAGTTCTGACTTTCATCTAAATGTGAACCAATCGCTTTAAGAGGAGCGCGGTTCCTGTCAAACTTGCGATCACCTTTAAAGAATTTTTATAAAACCAGGCTGTCTATTGCAAACATTATGTATCTATTTTTACAGCTAAACTGAATAACGTTTTGCACAACTTTACTTAGCAAATGAAATATATATATATATATATATTATCAACAGGATAATCAACATCTATATAGCTTGAATTGATCTTCACTAACAATGCCATTTATATACAGTTTTATAATTAACTGTTTGGCCATTTGTATCTGGGAGTGCAACAAAGTCATCATGCTACAATAAACAGCTTAGTTATCGATCCAAATTACCCCATTTAACTTACTGGACCTGTCCAAAGCCAATACAGTTAATGCCAGTATGAAATTAATTGCTCACCATCAAAGTAGATTTCATAATGATAATAAAATCACTCTGACTAATCTATAGCTATTCAAATACTAGTTGTAAAAGTACTATATAAAAGAAAGTGGTATAGAGGTAGCATCGATGTAGGTATTCTGAACAAGGTCTGCATTTTTCATAAATCATTCGAGCACTAACTTGCGACTCTTGGAACCTACAAGTAATTATTACTTCTTTTTTAATATGATGTATAAAGAAACACCCTTGGTATTGGACTCTGGTCGATGACTGAACAAATCGCTAATATTTGATGACTCTAATTGTTAGATTAATTATATTGAATTGAATGTAGTAATTTTTCTATATTTGATAACCTGGTGATTTTTTTTTTAAAAAAATAATCATAATAGCCCGATCAACTAATTAAGACACTACTTTTTGATAAACCTCTAGAATATATCTTGTAGCATATCACAGTCTATACAATGCTTATAAGGGTAGACGGTGTATAAAAGCTACATAGAGTAAAATCGAACAAAAAAAGTAGAAGAAGAAAAGATTTCTTGAATTTTATGGCGTTGTGTTGAAACAGTAAAATAATGCATGTGAACTTTTAGGCCAAGTTTCTTTTTTTTTTGTTACAATATATCTTTGTAAATAAATTCTCAGTGATACATTGAATTGACTTGACTTTAATTGAATACCCCCTTGTAGAAAAAAAAATAGCCAATTGAATGAAACCTTTGTTTTTTTTTTTAAAAAAAAAAGGTTTTAAAAGACTACAATACATTATTGATCTTTATAGGATTTACTCTCACTTATACATATGTATTATATACATGTATAAAATAAAATATAAAAAATAGAAGACTCGCAGTCACATGCTCGGCCTCTCTTTCTCTCTATCTCATTCTTTTTAAATGTGTTGTGTGTGCGGACTGCGCTTGTGACAAAAAAAGAACTTTTTTTTTTTTTTTTTTTTTGGTTCCTCATCTGTTCTCCGATGCCTATTGGCTCTAAACCAATTGGTTCTGACGTTTGCACATTTTAGCTGTCCACTTAAAAATAAGCAACTTGACTTCCAGTCCCCTTTTTTTTTCATATATAATATATATATATAATATATATTTAATTTTTTTTTTATATTTTATTCGGCTTTGTCTTTAATTTCTTCTTCATAGATTTTGTCTCTTCATCTCTTATACATCACAAATAGTTCATGAATTCTACCCAAACGCAAACAAACACCCCTAAACCTGCTTTGAATGGTGCCAGAATAAAACAAAGAAAAGTAAGTTTCCTGCTCTTCTTTTATTATTTTATTCTCTTCATTTAGTCCTTGTCCTTGTCCTTGACTTTTGGAATCTTACATCTGATCCCTTTACCTCTTCGTTTACTCTTCTAGGGTGTCCAAAAAGCACAAGCAAAACACGAGCCAGAAAGTAAGTTCATATAATATTTTATTTTATTACATACACAATAAAAACAAAAGACTCATCTAATCTCTTCAACCTTGTTAGTCTTTAGGGACCAGGTCCTTAAGTTATTGGAAACAGCTAAGCCTGGAAATCTAGAAGACATCTCGCTCAAACTTGACGCAGGTGGAAATACTCTTGAATATCGTAAATACAACGATTCACTCTTTGAAATCCTTATTACTGGTGGAATTTTGGGTAAGACTTCTTAAATATATGTATAAAAATAGATAACATAAAACCCTACGTCAGAAGAGAGAGAGAGAGACACACACACATACATACACATACATTTTTTTCTTCTTCTGCTTTTATTTTTTATTTTTTATTTATTTTAGCTATGTATGCGTGCGTGCGTGTTTTGTTTTGTTTTGTTTTGTTTTGTTTTGTTTTGTTTTTATTATCCTTATTATCATAACACTAACCTCTTTCTTATCTCCACCTCTTTAGAACCCGGAGGAATCATTAATGATGACGCCGAACGTTGCCCTTTCAGCATCTTTGGCTGTGCCGATGACAACACATCTATCAAGAACGCAGTTGATGTGTTCAACAAGCTTATCCGTCGTTACAAGTACTTGACACGTTCTTTTGAAGAAACCCTGAAGAACATCCTTCAATACATCAACCGTTGGCAACCAGCCGAAAACCACAAATTGGCCGTCGCTACTGGCTACTTTGTAACCATCCAGCTCGGAAGTCTTTCTGTCCTCAAGGTCCTCTTCAAGGACTACTTGGTCAAGGATGGTAAGTTTGATTTTGATATTGCTGTGGTACATATACTGTAATTGGTTTATATCCATCTATATCTTCTACATCTAATTTTATAAAGAGAGAGAAAGAAAGAAAGAAAGAAAAAAGCAGGGGGGTAGTAGTAAAGAATAAGAATAAGAATAAGAAAATAATATAATATAATATAATATAATATGTATACGCGCGTATATCTTTCAAGACAAGAACAAGACGCTTATTCATTATTTTGCTCACTATCTGTAGGTCTTTCGCTCGAATTTGCTACCACCGTCTTCCGTACCATCCTGAGTGTCCAGACTATCGAGCAGCTCGGCAAGTCTCTCATCAACTCTGGTCTCGACTCAAAGTTGATCGAACTTTTCCCTCCCAACAAGCGTGAGGATGAATGCCTCGTCCGTCACTTTGAGGCTGAGGACATGAAGCCCTTGGTTGAGTTCCACCAGAGAAACCAAAAGAACTCTAAGAAAGATGAGTTGGCTTACAAGCTCAAGGAGATGCTTCAATCCGAGGCAGGCGTTGCTGAGGTAAATTACTAAAGTAATATATAAACCAAAAGAAACCTAATCAGAGATAATCGATTAATTAACGCTATATATATATATATATATATATGTGTGTGTATGCATTTAGGTAATTGCCTATGTCAAGCAAAGCTCCAAGGATGCTGGTCTCGTTGAATCAGAGATCATCCAGATCATTTGGGTTGCTATTCTCAGCACTCTTGATCTTATCAATGCCCGTCCTGATCAGGTTGAGGCACAGACCTTCCGTGCTCTTAACGTAAGTCTTGCTTGTGTTGCATTTATTGGCTTGATAATAATCGCAATAGGTGTTTATGCTAACATCAACGATCTTTTACAGGAATGGTCCAAACTTATGGAGGCTTTTGCCACCTCCCCAAAGACTGAGATTGTCTTGCTTCAAAAGGCTCAGTTGACTTGTTACGAGGATGCCAAGTTCACAAAGTTCTTCCGTCAAATCGTCCAACTCTTGTACAAGAACGACGTTTTGTCTGACAATGCCATCCTTTACTGGGCCGACAAGGCACACAAACCCCAGGGTAAAACCATGTTCATTAAGCAGATGGAACCTTTTGTCCAGTGGTTGAAGGACAATGAGGACAGCAGCGAAGAAGAAGAGGATTAAACAAGAGTAAGAAAGCAAGGGCAGTAAAGGCAGTAAGGAAGGAAAGAAGAGACTAAGAGAGAAAGTAGACGAGGTGTTGTTGTTGTTGTTTTTTTATCTTCATATTATTTTTATCTTTATTATTATATATTATATATTATATATATTTTTCATCATCACATAAAACACAAACCAACCAGACAATTATTTGTATATTTGTTTCTTAAATGCTTTGAAAACATGAGCCTTTTTTTTTTTTTGCTTTTTGCTTTTTGCTTTTTGCTTTTCTGCTCACTAGTTAGTCTATTGATCGACCTATATATTATATATGTAATTATCAGAATTTATTTATTTATTTATTTATTAATTAGTTAAATAGCAGTAATCATTATGGCTGTAATAAATAGCCAAAAAAACAAAGAAAAAGAAAAAGAAAAAAACCAAGCCTCCCAAAGTGTTTCGAGTTTTGGCTGTTATTCAATTTAATTTTAAAAGAATGAAAAAATAAATAATCAATTAGTTACACAAAAGAACAGCAAGACTATCTTCAAGTAATAAGACCAATTAATTGATACTGATACTGATACTGATATTTCTCTTTATTCAATTGATTGAATTGGCTCTTTTTATATAATTCTTTACTCATATTAAAAATAAAATAAAATCACGATGTTAAAAACTCTAAGAGAGAGAGAGATTTTGTGGGCGTATTTAAAAGTAAAAGTAAATAATAAAATTGAGCACAGTGAAATGAACTTCTTCAATTGTTCTCATCAAACTCAGTTGCATGATCATTTTTCTCCCTTTCTCCTATTTTATGTTGCATTTCATTCCACAATAGATTTTTCTTTCCAATCCTGTAATCATAAGTGCTATTTAATAACAATAAAAGTCTATTGCCACCTGATATAATCCTACATGAACACAAAACCTCAGACCACCCATTTTTTTCTTTCTTTTTTGTCGATCCTTTTTTTTTCATATTAATATTAATGCCATTATTTGTTTCTCATACCCATTTTATACCTTTATATTCTTCTAATTAATAACCATGCTAGTAAACAGCTTACCTTTCGAAATTCTCTCCAATATCGCCGATTTCCTACAAACCCCAGACATACTTACAGGTTCGGTTGTCTGCCGGGCCTGGAAGAGACCATTTGAAGAATCTCTCTGGCGACACATCACAATCACCTCTGACCATCAACTGGACATCTTTTGCGACAAACTCTACAACCAGCAATTATCCGGTAACAAGTTCGATCACCATGTGCGGCAACTTGACCTGAGCTATCATCGTCCAAACTACCCAGAAAGCTTTAATTTAATAGAGCAGAGTTTCCCCTTGCTCGATCACCTCTGTATTAGCGACAATGCCTGGTTCACCACAGACCCTCCGCCCTATGTCAATTGGAGCCACTGGAAGACCCTCACTCGTCTAGACTGGTGGATATTCGATAGTGCAGTACTTGCTCCAGAATCCTATTTTGCTCTCTCCTTCCTTCCAAATCTGACCTCGCTCAAGCTGTCCTACGACTGTGAGGACGAAGGAGCCTTCACCCTCGATGGCTTTGAGATGCTACTCCAAAACACCCCTCGTCTCAAAACTCTCTCCGTCGACAGTCTAATCGGCAACATGCCCGAAACAGACCTTGCGCGTATCAAAACTCTACCTCCCAGCACCACCCTAACAGCCCTGTTCATCGAATCCTACTCCTGGGATCTCGGATGGCTCTGTTATTGGGCCCACAAGTGTCCCAATCTCCAATCTCTGGAGTGGAATAGCTCCGTAACCGGAACCACACCGCACCATATGGACGAAGCTTCGGAAGTCCTCAAGACAATGCAAAACGCATTCAAGAATCTCAAAAGATTTGATATGGAAGCTCTAAAGGATTCTCACGCAGACCATTTTTTTGAACTCCTTCACCAGTGCGACACATCTCTGAAGCATCTCGAACTTAGGCTCAAGAGCGACGAGCAGTACGTTCCATTGAAAATGTTTGAGGAAGCACCGTTTTGCTTCTTTGAATCTCTGGAAACGATCTTTCTGGATCTCGCTGGCGAGACTTCGGACCTCTTTCTTTTACCGTATGCCTTCCGCACATGTTGTCGGCTAGCAAACCTGAAGATCATCGCACCGGACCTAATTATCGAGCTCGACGTTCTTTTAGACCATTGTCAAGCCCTCAAGACCCTCGAACTCAATGTTTGTGAAGTTGCGACAAGTGATGACACCCCTTTGTACCCATCAGCCCATGCTCTTCGCGTGATCGAGCTCGAAAAGGCAACTCTTCCCAGTTCTCTCTTTTATTACATTTCACAACGGTGTCCTCAACTCAGCCGCTTGCATATACTTGACTCTGACGTCGTGTGTTCCCTATCATGTACTGCAGGAAATATGAGCATCTTCATGCCATACACACACCTGGATACATTAATGGTTACCTCGGTAGAGTTTCACGTCATCACCAACTCAAATAATATGGAGTCTGTCGTACTAAATTATCTGCACCTGGTTCAAATCGACAGTCCATCAGAACAAACCACGTTTTCATTTAGACCAATCCGTCCAACATCTCACCACAGCACCGATCTGGAAATACATCCCCCACAATGGTATTGTCAGTACGCCAAGGACGGCACACCAGACACAGTTTCTTTTCAGGCCTTGGACATAGACCAGACACGCCAATTCGAGCTTTATTTGAAATCAAAGCAGTGTACCGAAGATTTGGTAGAGAGGCGAATTAAAGAGCAAAATTGCCCGGGGCATCCGTTGGACGCAAATGATTGGATGGAAGACCTACTTCCGGAAAATGTAGCACTACAAATCGGGTACACCAAAACAGCCATCATTAGATAGCTGGATCTATTCTATTGATTAAGCATGAAATATTTTAAATATTTTAAATATTAAGTATTAATTATAAACTATAAATTCTAATAGCAATAATAACAATAATAATCGTAATAATCATAATTTACTATAAAAATTAAATAATATAAAAGGCCAACAGACAGACATGTCATTTTATTTATTTATTTATTTATTTATTTATTTATTAAGTGGGGTGAGGTTCAGCTATCGACAATCAGATTGTGGCCGAGTGTTTCGTACCTCAAGTACAATAGGCTGTTTCATTAAGTTTTACATGTTTCGCTCTTAAGATTGCCGTGTCTTAATACACAGACCAATAATAATTTGCATTCTTATCTTTACCTCTACTTATATTTTCTTACAAAACATTTATAAACATCAGTAGTAAATCTGTTACTTCATTCTCCTAGCAACTAATCTTTTATTGTTATCGGAAGAGTGATTTAAACTTTAGCTCAATAAAATCCCAAGTATTTTTATATTTATATTTTGTATTACACCATCTTACAGTTAAAAGCAACATATCTAAAGCTAATAAGACGCCTTGATATTTGAGGTAGCCATATACCTAAGAACTACTACTGTTATTATTAGTATCGTTAAAAAAAATAAGTAATCTAATCAATAAGATCTACAAAAGAAATTCAAATGCAAATTTCGTGTTCATCTATTTTTGGTGCTTCTTTAATTTACATACATACATACATACATACATACATACAAATATATAGGTATAGAAATAATGATATCAACTTGACTAGGTTTGCATATGTATTACATATATCTCAAAATGAAGTTTTAATTAAAGAGAGAGAGAGAGAGAGAAAAGAGGTAACCAAGGCTTACATTATCAGATATAACCCATTTGTAAAAAGCTAGGTTTACACCTGGCTACTACTTTTTAAGTAAATTTCTTCTCTTTCCAGAAAAATAAAAATCCAAAAGAGAGTTTGTTTTCGTTCCTTTTGCTCTTTGCTCTTTCTCTCGTAGGGTAATCGTAAGCGATTATCTTTTCTGTGTAAATAAAGCCTACGCCACATTCCAAACTTATTTACGACCATCAAGTAGAGCAACCGTCAAGGTTTTGGTACAACGATACTCTATATGGCCAGAAACATATTTGTAAGCTGCGTGATCTCAAGTTTTGCACCTTGTATAGTACACTTTTACTGTATTCAAATGCCTTTTTCCTTTATATACGCACACTACAAAGAGAAAATTGTCATTAGTGTAGTTTGACAATTGAAACTAAAAATAAAACAAAAACAATGTAGACAAACTAAAAGCTCAAAAAAAGGGATACAAATCTTTAAGCTATATTAGGGGGTTTCACCAGCTTTGGATGCTTGACTGTTGGATATAGCGGTAGTTTAAGCACCAGCCAATAATAATAAGTATCGAAAAAAGACTGGTGAAACCCACTAATGACCCTTGGTTGATATGTTTTCTCTCATATACATCAAAATTCATATGTACAATACGCTTGATTAGAGTACCCATAAATATAGTGCCTATGCCCAAATTTCTCACAAGTAAGTTATACTTCTATAATTTGGTATCAAGATAACTACTTTTATATAAATTTATTATTTTTTATTTTTGACTTGGCCTTTATATGAACTTCGCTATCAATCGTACATAAAGTACAAAATTTACAAAATTTCGGCGAAGTCACAACATCTAGAGTATCAAACTATTTTTTTTAGATGCTTGGATGCTCATTTTTTATTTTTTGAAGATTTGTCACAGCCAATCATTTTCCGAATTAAACCACCGCTACATCCACCAGTCAAGCATCCAAAGCTGGTGAAACCCCCTATTATTAGAGCATCTTTAGCAGTCGACTTTATATCTAACTTTATATCAAATTTAAAACTCTAGTTAAACTCAGTACCCCCCGATAGTTCAATTAAATTCATTTTAAAAATAAAAGACAGCAGCAACCTTTGAGGTCCCATTTTTACACTTTTAAAAAGGAAATCGCTTGGTAAAAAAGGAATGATTCCTCCCAATGATGCGCGTTGAGTTTGTTGTGCGTGCAACTTGATCAGAAATAAGAATAAAAATGTATTGAAGAAGAATTACAAATGTAATTCTAGAGTATGAGTTTGGGTGGGAAAGTGAATAATAGAGAGAAAGTAGGGACCTTGGTGAGATGATAAGAGACATTCAGGCACCGAGTTACCAAATATAGACTTCTATCAAACATTTTTTGTTGGAATATAATGTCTCAAACATAGTATACATTTGGTAATCATTGCCTGTCGGAGATACATTTGTCTAAGATCAACAAGTGTATTGCCTTCAGCATCTCATGTGGCTTGGCACACAATGCAAAGGACCCTATTATATCTTATTGGTAGTAGTATGCTTGGATATTGAAAGCATTTCAATTCTGCAATGAACTGGTTTATATTTTTACCAATGTACAAAAATATATGCAGAATAATAATGGATCCAGTTGTCCTAGTATCAACAAAATCAATGTCAGCTTACATTATTCTTTATGAAAAATAACTCTACAAGCTAGTCTAATGATTTGCTTTGTTATTCTCTTTCAAATAAACTTACAATGACTTTTAACACTCGCGTCAGCATTCTTGTAAGCATAATGTCCACTTTTACTATCAGAGCGGCTGTTATTGAGGACACTGAAGCCAAGAAGATACAAAGGCAGATTGTCATCCAAAATAGAATGATGAGATTACTGTGCGAAAACCATCTGTATCTCAGGATATTCCCAGATGATGATTGCAAATTTCTTTTCCGGTTTACATACCAACAGGTATTTTAAGTTCAACATATAGAGCAAGCCATATTGATCCAACTTATATTCAAAATTAGATGCAGCAATTAGTTCTTCTTTTCGGACTCAAAGAGAAAATGTTTTTTCAAGAAAACTCAAGGGGGAAATTCAGTCTTTCAGCAATAGAATCTGTAGCAATATTACTTCATAGATTGTCATACTCATCTCGTCTGGGTGATCTGGCAATATTTTTTGGAAGGTCAGAGTCGACACTCAGTCCTGTGTTTAAAGAACTTGTATGCAGACTTCATTTGAAATTTAGAGCTGCCATGATATTTGACTATAACCAGTTCAAGCCAGAGAATCTGGAGAGATTTAGTAATGCGATTTACAGAAAATGTAAGTGTTACCTGCAATAAAACATATAGTCAAAGTCAATAATTTTGCTGTTATTTTTGGCTACAAATAAGGTCAGCGTGTTCAGCACTGTATTGGATTTATTGATGGCACATTTGTGAAAGTTGCCAGACCAACAGACAACCAAGAACAATGCTACACTGGCCACTACGTAAGCTAATGATTTGTATATTTTTAAAGTAATCTGGTTTCTATATTTCTTTTTTCTAACTTGACATACATGTTTTGTATAGAGAGCTCATGGCCTCAAGTATCAAGCAGTTGTTACACCAGATGGTATAACATCGTCTTTCTATGGCCCTGTGGTTGGATCTCATCATGATATGTTTCTTTACAGGGAAAGCCGCATAGAGACATATATGCGCAACACATTCGATTTCAGACATGAGCACGGTCCATGTTATCATTTGTATGGAGATCTCGCCTATGTTTCTTCAGAGTACATGATGCATCCATTTGGCAATGGTAAGTTCTTCATATTCACTATGTTTGAAACAATTCATTCTTATATTTGTTGTTTTTTTCTAAACCTTTAGCTCCAGAAGATTCACCATACCATGTATTCAATATGGAAATGTCACGACTTTGTGTCTCTGTAGAGCATGAATTTTCTTATGTAGGAAATTTATTTTCCTTTGTCAAGTTTGTACAGAATCAGAGGCTATTTCTTAGCCCAGTTGCATCCCACTACATAGTGGCAACTTTATTGAAGAATATATATGTGTGCTTCAACAGAGGAAATCAGACAAGCATGAAGTTCAACGTCTTACCTCCCATCCCTCAGAATTATGTGTATGGCTTGTTACATTAAAATCTGTGTTCTTGAATATTTTGTTGATATATATAATAAAATCCTAATAAACCAAGAAGTTATAAAGTTATTTCATGTATTTCAATTTGTTATATATATTTGTGTGTGTAATGTATTTTAGATAATTAATTAGACATAAAAAACGCTTTAACTGACTGTGTTATTACTATGAATAAAAATGGTAATATTCTTATGATACAATCTCAATAAACAAGAGATGATTTTTCAATCAAGCAATAGTATCAAGACAATAAAATGTTACACTTAACTTGTTATGATATATTAGATAAAATTTGATGAAACAGTTCTAGAATATTGTCATTAGTTAACAAAATGTAAAATGCAAAAGTGTTCTTAATGAGGTAAAATTGTGTCTTTACTAAAATTACTAAACTTTCTCGAGTTGTGATTATTAAACTGGTCATTTTCATATAATTATACGAATTTATAGCTACAGTATCATATCTGACTGTGGTTCCAAAGGAAGACCAGTTGGTGTAATCTCCAGAGTGAAAACCTCAGAATTTCCATTGCCAAGATGTATACTCGAAAGTAGATCAATTACATGATCCACCTTCATGTCAATCTCATCAAGTCGAGAAAGGATCTTCTGATCCATTACCGGATCCAGAACAGTCTCCACTTCTTCTTTCAGCATCTGCATCATTGTGGATGCATCACTCATTGACACCTTCTCCATTCTGGGAGCAGAAGTGGAAGTAGAAGGCTCATCTACATGTGGCCATTTTCTTGGGGCCAACCACTATTCTTTGATCACCGGGTGGATCGCATTTGTGGCCCTGTCCTGGATCAGCTGCTCCTTCTCAGCCTTCTCCTGCGTTTCGGCCACCTTTGCTGCATCTCTCTGCTCAGACTGCAGCTTCAAATCCTTTTCCTTCAAAGATAAATGTTATCAAACAAGTTAAATTCAAATAATTTTTTTTTATAAAGTGTAAATCTTTAAAGAATATAGCATTATATCTTTTTTTTGTATGTATTACCATATCTACAAGCATGCAAAGGAGTCTGTCAGTCTCAGAGTATGGCTCGTAGATCTTGCTCTGGAACTGATTATGGGCCTGATGTCTTTTATAGCTTGCCATCAGCGACTTGTATTGCCTCCAGGCAGTGATGGCAGATATATCCCCTTCACTTGAATCGATCCAGTTCACTGCTGCTGTGACCCTTTCCCATGTGGCCTCTCTTTGACCCCAAGGCTGATACTCTGAATGCTCAAACATTATGTACTGCAACAATGTCTCCTCACGTCTTGCAGTAAAGTGGCTGTTGGATTTTTTCTCTTGTAGTTGTTGCATTTGAGATTATAATGGTGTGTATATGAATAAGAGTAGTATTTGTATTGATATATATATTTTTCATATATTTATAGCTTTTGAAATATCACTCTTTATGTGATTTTACTGGTGAGAATTACTAGAACGTCATAAACTTTCTTTGCATGACTTTGCTAATGGAAGTTATATAAAATACAGTACAGTTGTCTTACTATTATATGGTTTATTATCATTATTCTACTTTAGCCTTTCTATGTTGTTAATATATACAAATATTTGAATATATAGTTTAATGAATAACTGCTAATGAAGTATATACTTTTATGCAGATCAGCATTTCTATTGTTTAAATAGTATGTGAGGTATTCGGGGTTGTTTATGGGTTAGTATCTCAATAATGGGAAAAGTAGATACTGTGAGAGTGTTATTTATTAAAGAGACAAAATAATATTGTTTATATCTGCTACTATTCAAATCCCTGTAATTCAAATCCCTGTTGTGTAATGGTTGGTTTACACTGTATGAGTGTGTAGTGTACGTGTGCCTGGTGTGTAACAGTTCCAGAGATTGTTAACTTGCCAGGTTCATTAGCAAGAAGGAACCAGTGTTTGGTTGTGGGGTCTGTTCTTAATTGTGGTGTGTATACCACATTACCCCCTTCCAGGTTGAATAACTGTGTTGAGAGTTGAGTTACTTTAGACTGAAGGGACCATGTTAGCTTCTTGGGCATAGCATCGGGCGTTAGCATCGTGAACGTTATCGTGTTGTACGTAAGCGTATTGAGCATTAGCATCTTGAGCATTTGCTTTGGCGTGTAGGTGTGGGCTTCGTAGTGTGGCATTTGCTAATGTACGTTGCAGTGACGGCGCGTGTCTGATGTGGGTTTTGTGTCTTGTCAATTGATGTTGTACCAAGTCGATCCCAATAATCCGCAATAGGTTTTGGGCTGCTAAAGGACTCAGGTGTTTGCCATGTATCATCTTTTTCTTCGTAACCTTCCCATCTTACTCTGTACTCGTATTTTCCTTTAGCCAGTTCTCTATGAGCTACTACTGCTCTGACTGTAAAGTATTCTTTGCCAATTTTCTGGACTTCATCTAGTGAGACGAGTTTGTCCTGTGAGATCAGCTTGAGTTGTGAGGGTAGATATTCTCTGGGCATCAGTAGTCCTTGTTCATCCATGAGGACGTAAGAACCTCCCTGTTTCTCTCTGACTACGGTGTAAGGACCTTGGTATGCAGGTTCTAGTTTACCGTGTTGCAGTTCTTTAATCATGACTTGGCTATTAGGAGGGAATTGTATCATCCTGTATTTCTTATCAAACTTGCCCTTTTGTGCATTTGTTACTGCTTTTGCTCTTTCAGTGATTGCGGGAAACACAACGTCTGCCATTGTTTTTATACGCTTTTGTAGCTCATCCTCTGTGAGTGATGGTACTGCTGGATCATCGGCGTAGCTTTTAAATCCATTCATTGTTCTGGCGAACATAAGGTTGTAAGGAGCCATTCCATTACGTTTTGTTACTTTGGCATTCATTGCTAGCTGTATGCTAGGTACATAGAGGTCCCAATCTCGGGTCGCTCCTTTTATACATTTCTTAATCGCGTTGGTTGAGATTTGAACCCAGCGTTCGGCTACACCGTTAGCTCTTGGGTGATAGGGCGTAGCTAATCTGTGATCAAAATCAGATGTTTCAGCTAGTTTTTTCATAAGTGAGTTGACGAACTCTTTGCCATTGTCTGATTGTAAGTATCTAGGGAATCCGAAATTACAGAAGACGTCTATTACAGTGCTGACAACAGTGTCCTGTGTTTTATCAGGTATTGCACGTAGTACACAAAATCTTGTGCAAATGTCTACCATTACCAGTAAGTAGTTATTACTGTTATGTGAGGTCGTGAAAGGACCTGCTAAATCAATAGCCCAATGATCGCATGGTAAATATACGTGAATTGGTCGTAGAGGGTGATAACCTTTCTTTGCTATGTTATACTTTTGGCATTCTATACAGTCTTGTACAACCTTGGCGGCGTCTCTATGTATGTTTGTCCAGTGTATCCCTTCATTATGAAGTGCGTTTGTCATGGCATCTGCTCCAAAGTGTCCGAAAGCGTGAGCTTTGGCAAGAAGTTCTTCTCTGTCACTGTCTGGTGGTGTTAGCATCTCATCGTAATTGGTGTTGACTACAGTTTGTTGTCTATTAATGACCATTTTTTGGCCTGTGAAATTAACTGCGGAGTCATTACCCCCTTCCAGCTCTTTTTCCGTAGGGAAAAGTCGTGATAGCTGGTCAGGTAAGATGTTGCTTAGACCGGGCAGGTGGAGTACCTCGAATGAATATTCGAGTATGGTATCCAGCCAGTTTATCATCATAGCATTGGCAATCTTTTGTGTATGTATATATGTGAGGGCTTTGTGATCGGTGTATAGAGTGAACGGATTTCCCCAAAGATATTTGTGGAACTTATTCAATGCATATATTACCGCGAGTAGCTCACGTTTTGTAGTGGAATAGTTTCGTTCACTTTTAGACAATGCGCGAGCCATGAAACCGATGTGTTGCGTTTCTCCATTGATGACTTGATATAGGACAGCACCTATTCCTACGTTTGATGCGTCTGTGGCCACACTGAAAGGGTACTTTAGGTTTGGGTAGCACAGGATAGGCAGTTTGAGTAGGATGTCTTTTAGGTTTGTGAAGCTGTTATAATGCTCGTTGGTCCAGAGAGGTGTAAGATCACCCTCGTTACGAAGTCGATCAAGAGGTGCGGTGAGCTGGGAGACATTAGGTATATGTTCCCTGAAGTAATTTATAACACCAAGAAACCGTTGTATATCTTTTCCGGTGTTAGGCGTAGGCCATGCTTGGATGCTACTGACCTTTCTTGTATCCAGTGAAATGCCTTTATCTGACACACAAAAGCCTAGTAAGAAGACTGCTCTTTGTGCGAAATGACATTTCTTTGGATTTAAGATGAGATTAACACTAGTAAGTTGTTCTATTGCTGTTTTAACATGTTTTGTGTATTCCTCCATGTTATGAGAGAATACCACAATATCGTCTACGAATGTGGTTACAAAAGGCATATCTTTGAAAGCAATGTTCATAACCCGCTGGAATTTAGATGAGATGGGTTTAAGTCCAAAAGGGCAGCCGCGGAACATGTACTGCCTTCCTTTGAAGGTGAATGTTGTTTTAGGTCTGTCTGGCTTGTATACCTCAAATCGATGGAAAGCACTTGTAAGGTCTAGGGTAGTGAAAACAACCACATCTTTAAGTGTGTGAAATACGTCTCTTATAAGAGGTAAAGGATATCTGTCGTCTTTTAAAAGTTTGTTGATATGTCTGGGGTCTAGACAGGGTCTTCTGTCTGTGTAATTACCAAACATGTCTTTTTTTGGTGCTAGTGTAATAGGACTATTCCATTCCATATCATTGGATGCCACCTCTATTGTACCATCTGCTAGCCAAGTGTTTACAGTCTCTTGGATTCTAGGCTCATATACTACCAGTAAAGGGTATTGTCTTCTGTAGGAAGTTACGCCTTCTGGTGTGTCGATATGGATGATAGATTCTGGTATAGTGCAAAATGATGTTTTAGGAATAAGTTTGTTGGATCTGATAGATTGTTCTATAGCTTCCGTAAACTGTTTTTGCTCCTCAGATGTGCCAGCAGGAGATTTATTAGGTTCTGGCACATCATCTGGAGTGTTTTCGCTCAATGAATCGCTTTTTTGATCGTCCCAAGTAGTTGCTAAGTTTGTAATTGCCATGCCCAGTCTGGGCATTAAGTCTGTGCCAATGCTCATCTGTGTGCCTAAGGCTAAACTCATTACTACGAAGTTGTGATTCAGTTTACAACTCATATAAGATAATGAAAGGTTCTCAACAGTGCCTAAATGTTCCGCTAAGCTATTCTCTGATGCTAAATAAATGTGCTGCTTTTTTGAACTACATTTAGTGATAGGTAGAGAGAGAGAGGAGACAAGGTCTGGAGAAATGAAAGAAGCGTTTGCTCCAGAGTCCACCAGTGCCCACACCCGGCTACTCTGAACAATTATAGGAACATAGAGTGAGCCGTCGTTATGTGGCAGTGCAGTGAGGTGGTGAATGTTAAGGTGTTTACCTTGTGCTTGTAGATTGAGTTGGCTCAGGTCCAGCTCAATTCTACTATTCAGTGCATCCTCACTGTTGACTGTTCTTGTGCTACGGTTTGCAAATACTGGCTTTTTGGCTTTGGCCAACTGAAACTCAGGGCATTTATGCCCGTTGAAGTACAGAACTTTATGACAGTAATGGCAGAGGGGTGCTGGTCTTGGTGCTGGTGGTGTGAAGGTCTTATTCTCCATGCTCGTAATACTCTTGAGTATATGGCATTCGTCTTTGCTGTGTCTGCCCTTGGGATGCAAAGGGCAGGATCCTCTGTTGTTGTGATTGTTTCCACGTTGTTCTCTACGGAATTCACCGCGTCCTCTCTTGCTGCCGGTGTACTTGTGATTGTCTTCTTGGTATCTCTTGGTACCACTTGTGGTCCGTTCCTCTTGGAACAGGGAGTCTGTCTCCTCACCACTAGTGGCCACAATCAACGGTATGACTTGGTGTATGTTCTTGGGAACAACCAAGCCGTAGTGCTGCGTAAGTGTTTGCCACGCTTTCTCTCTTACAGGTCTCAACAGCTTGGAGGTGAAGAGCCATACAAGCTCGTTGCTACTGTCGAGGTTGGTGGCATGAACACTGTCCAGGAATCTTTCCGCGTATGCTCTGACAAGCTCTCCTGGCTTTTGCAGCATGCAGTGGACTTCATGCTTCTTGATCCACAGGTGGTACGGGTTACCGTGCTCGCTTTCTAGCTGCTGGCGTACCTCCTTCCACTTCAAACCTCTTCCGGCCCTTGTCTTCTCAAATGAGACGCGTTGTCTCTTGTCACAGGTAAGCCAGAACAAGCGTTCCCAGTGCTGATCAAAATCCAGGTTGTGTGCCCGGAGCTGCACTTCGAAGTCGTTCAAAAACGCGGCGATGGAGTCATGGACCGCCTTGTTGGTCTGATGGACTGGTCCACCACGAAGCTGGAAGGCAGGAAGGTTGGGGGGAACGAAGGAGTCTGCCTTGTTGTTGCCTCAGTATTTTCCGGCTTTCTTCTCAATATTGGCCCTGAAGACCTCAACGGCTGATGGGCTGGACATCATCTCTTGGGCGTCACAGAAAGCCACCCAACGCACTTTGGTGTTGGCCACCTCTTCTTGGGCCTTTCTTATATCGTCGAGTTTAGCCTCGGGGTTTTCCAGAACCTTTATCAACTTTTCTGCTGCTTTCTTGCGGCAAGCGTCAATTTCTATCCCAATTGCCAGGATGTTGATTTCTTGGTTGCGTTCCTCTTCCTCCATCTCGAAGTCCTCATTGTTGCTTTGGCTGTCTTCTCTAGTGTCCTTTTGCAATTCGCTCTTCTGCGATTCGTCATTCGAACTGGCGATGGAGGCATTCGCAATGTAATTGTTCATTTTTGTCAAAAATACAATTCACAGTAAAAAATGAGGTATTCGGGATTGTTTATGGGTTAGTATCTCAATAATGGGAAAAGTAGATACTGTGAGAGTGTTATTTATTAAAGAGACAAAATAATATTGTTTATATCTGCTACTATTCAAATCCCTGTAATTCAAATCCCTGTTGTGTAATGGTTGGTTTACATTGTATGAGTGTGTAGTGTACGTGTGCCTGGTGTGTAACAGTTCCGGAGATTGTTAACTTGCCAGGTTCATTAGCAAGAAGGAACCAGTGTTTGGTTGTGGGGTCTGTTCTTCACTCAATTGTGGTGTGTATACCACAGTATGCATATCTCTTTTTTGTATTTGATTTTCTGTATAGTTTTTGTAATAGTTGATATAAGTACACTAGTTTTTATTTAAAACAATTCAATTGATTCTTCTGTAATTTCTTGACAAATAAATATCTTGTTATAATATTTGCTTTTTAACATTTATGATACAAACCATCATATTTGTTAAAGACTGTTTGACAACAATTATTATATTTATATATCTTAACACTATAATCATAAACTAACTATCTTCTAATATTTCATTAGTCTTGCATAAATAATTTTAGATGCTAATAACCTTTGCATTGAAGTCAACTAGGAAAACAAGTCACGAAGTCACCAGTTTAAAAACAAGGAATTAGTGTTATACGATTGGCCTAACATGTTTTACAATGTTTGAAAAATTCCTTTCAAGTTTGTTGTGTGAAGATCAAGATATTGTACCTCCGATAGGATGTACTGCTTGCAGTAGTAAAGGGCTACTGCAAGTAGGTACATACAATTGCATAACATTCTTCTCTATTATCTTCTGTCTGTATCTCTGCCCGTCTTCTACTCATATAAATACCCATCACCTCTTCTCAATAAAAGATCATCTTTCTTAAGCTCAAACTTCGGTCTCATTGACTAGTTGCCTAAACTAGCCTCCAATGCAAACCCTTTTATCTATAGTCATTACATGGTGGAGAAGCTTGCCTTTCTCTAATTACTTATTGCCTCTGCCTCTACCGTCTCATCTCCTTTGGTTCTTCGTCTCTTCACCACCATGACTGAGCATAGCCAACACAACCCTCTGTCTTGGACACAATCCAATGGTTCGGCCATTCTTCCACCACTTCCTCTATCTCCCATGGATGTCTCTGCTCCAGACATGCTCGCCACCCTGTACCTCACCTCTGCTGCCAAGGCATTGCCAGTTCCCCAATTCCACCCAGGAATGTACATCAACTCGTGGCTTTCACTCTACGAAACAGAAGCTACTCTTGTGGGGGTCTCTTCGGACCTTTTGGGCAAGTTCTTGCCTCACTACCTCCTGCCCGATATTGGGGAATGGATCCACGTGTCTAGAACCCGTCACGACTGGGCTGCCCTGACTGAACTCCTGACAAGCACATATGGGTTGGACCCCGAAATTGAGAAGTTGCAATGGCGTCGTGCCCTCCAGGCCACGAAACAGGGCACATTGCCCATCCATATGTTCCGCGTGAAGTTCGCCATGTTGGCCAACAACATTCCCTCTATCTGTCAACTATCCAACTGCACTATCTTGGCCATTTTTATGGAAAACATAAAACCGCAGCTCCGCCAACTGGTGGAACCCACCTTGACCAAGTATGACGACTGGGAATCCGCCTATGCCACTGCCATGGAGCATGAGAATTGACGTGGCAAGTATGCACCACCACCAGCCTTTGCTCCCCTCTCTCAGTTTGGCCCATAGCCCATGGACTGTTCGGCCGCCATTTCCTCTTCCCAACCGCATCGTAATGGACCTCCAGACAGAGTCCCTCGCCTCTGGGGACCAGATGGAAAACCCATATGTGGTTATTGTGAGGGAGCCCACTGTAACAAGGACTGCCAGGGCACTCCTCGGTGTGCTGCTGTCTCGTTCCCACAGGATTCACACGACACCTCTCCTCCCGCACTCTCAGCTACCGTCAGTGTGTTGTTGGCTAATCAGCCCCATGGTTTCCTGTTGTCCTCGCCCTCTGGGCCCTCTGTACCTTGTGTGGTACAAGACCGTGCTCTCTCTGCCTTGGTAGACACTGGGTCTGCCATTACTGCTATCTGTGCTTCTGCCCTTAACGGACTGAACGCGATTGTGAAAAGCAACCAGGCCATCACCTTCACCACAGCAGCTGGTGCACCCACACGATCCCATGGCACCACCACTCTGGCCGTTGGTCTTCTGGGTCGACCCTTCACCCTCACATTCCAGGTGGTCAAACACCTTGCTCACGATATCATACTAGGATATCTGGACTTGAAAAGATTGTCAGCTGTCATTGACACATTGGCCGATAGCATTCAGTTTGACACATGCACAACAATATCTCAACCATCCTCACACGTCCCCTGCCCTGTGAGGGCGATTGGTCACGTTCGTCTCCCAGCCCTGTCACACTGTTACCATACCGTACAAGGTCCTGCCAACTGCTTGGCTTATGTGGAAACTGGTCTGGAGATGCTCTCTTCTCATCTGTGTGCTGTGACTGCTGGCCTGGTGAAATTTGATCCACAGGGATTTGCCACCATCAAAGTTGCAAACTTGGGGAACACTACTGTGCAGCTACAATCAGGGTGCCAATTGGCAACCTCTGAAGATTTGGGAAGTATTAATTTCATCAATATAAAGAGCAGTACTAACACTTTGTTGACCCCCACATCTAGCAACCACCAGGCACCATTCACCAAGGAGGATCTTCCCATGGACACAGCACTGGAGGATGCACAGAAAGATCAAATTGTCTACTTACTCAACTGGTTCCGTAGTGTGTTTGCCGCCAAGGCCTCAACTGTCACATCACAGGTCCAAAATCACATTGACACAGGTCAACAACCCCCTCTCTCTGGCCCACCCCATTGCGCGTCGGCCGCTGAGAATGAAAAAATCAATGACATGATTGATGAGATGCTACAAGACGGAATTGTGGTACCCTCCCACTTGCCGTGGAGTTCCCCTGTCGTCATTGTGGCCAAGAAGGATGGTTCCCTACGTTTCTGTATCGATTATTGACGACTGAATGGTATAACAACTAGGGATGTCTGCCCCCTTCCACGTATTGATGACACCTTGCATGCCCTGGGCAATTCCACTATCTTCTCCACACTTGACCTCACCACTTCGTACTGGCAAATCGAGCTGGATGCTGCGTCCCGTCCCCGCTCTGCGTTTGTGTGTTGAAAAGGGCTATTCGAGTTTGTGCGCATGCCCTTTGGCCTCTCCAATGCACCTGCAACCATGCAGCAACTGATGGACGCTGTGCTGGCCAGCCTCAAGTGGCAACTCTGCCTCGTCTACTTAGATGACATCATCATCTTCTCTTCGTCCTTTGTGAAACACCTCAAGGACCTGGCTGCCATCTTCAGCCGTCTGCAAACTGCATCTCTCACTGTTAATCTCAAGAAGTGCAGCTTTACCTGCCCAGAAGTCAAGTACCTTGGATACTTGATCACTGCCACTGGTCTGCGCACCAACCCTGACAAGATAAAGGACATTGCTTCCTTCCCCACTTCAGTGGACGTTGATAGCCTATGTTCGTTTCTGGGCTTGTGTGGTTACTATAGGTGCTTCATACCCCAATTCTCTGTCCTCTTGGCTCCCCTGAACTGCTTACTCACCAAGGATGCCCCTTGGGTATGGGACAAGGCACACTCCCAGGCAACTGCTCAACTCCAGAAGGCACTCCTAACCACTCCCACACTTTGATTTCCGGATTTCAAGCAACCCTTCGAGCTGCACACCGATGACACGTGCACTGCTGGCATTGAGGTGATTCTTTCTCAATGCAAAACCCCCACACATTGCCCACATGCCATAGCATTTGCGCCCCACTCACTCAGCCCGGCAGAACGTAATTATAGTGTTACTGAGATTGAAGCCCTGGCCATAGTGTGGGGAATAAAGAAGTTCACCCATTACTTGACTGACACACATTTCACAGTGGTGACTGATCACCAGGCCCTCCAATACCTGTTGAAAACCTCTGACCTCCATGGGCGGCTGGCCCGTTGGGCCCTTCTACTACAAGGACACAGCTTTACCATTGTATACTGGCCTGGCAAAGAGAATTCGGGCCTGGATGCTCTGTCACGATATCCGATGATCAACGCCATTGGCGTAGACGAACTCGTGACAAGACAGGCCAGCAACCCCTTTTGCAAGAATATAAAAGACATGTCTGAGCTTCCTGCCAACTTTCTGTATTCTAGTTCACTATTGATGCACTGCTTCCAACCAGTTTTGCCTGTGAACATGTGCGAAGAGTTTTTTGAACTTCTACACTGCACCCCTTCCGCTGGACATCTAGGTCTGAACCACACCTTGCAACGATTCCAATGACTCGTTTGGTTCAAAGACCTCTGACCCTGGGTCTCTCAGAAGGTGTTGTCTTATGTAAACTGCCAGCAGTCAAAGTCCCCTCGCATTACACTAGGGTCAACGGAGTCAGTCTCTCAGGCACCACCAATGGCCCCATTTGACACCATTGCCATTGATGTATTTGGGCCATTACCCCTCAGCCTGCAAGACCATAGGTATATCTTGGTGATACAATGTTTATTCTCACAGTCGTCATCTTGGTACCTCTGACAAGCCTCAATGAGTCCACCGTTACGGCCGCACTTTGCTTCAAAGTCTTTGCTGAACACGGGCTACCAAGGGTCATCCTCTCTGACAATGGCCAACCCTTCTCATCTGGCTTATTGCACACACTAGCCAGACAACTTGCCATCACACAAAAGTTTGCACCTGCATATCATCCCCAATCTAACGGAGGAGTAGAACGTTTTATGGCCACACTGAGAAACATGATCGTCTGTTACATAGATCAAAGCACCATACACTCCACCTGGGACCACTATCTGAGACTGTTTCAACTCGTCTACAACTCGTCTGTCCACGCGTCCATGCAATTCTCGCCTTTCTTTCTCATCCACGGCCGTGAAGCCAGAATCCCAGCTACTATAGTGCAAGATCCCCAACAGACAACCCCAACTGACTATGCCTCTGGTATCAACACTGCCTTGTCCTCGGCTCTGGACTTGGTTCGACTAATCAACCTACAATCACACGCCTCAAACGAGCTTACACTCAACCAGCTCTGGAAGCCACCTGGCTTCCAGGTGGGCCAAGAGGTCCTTCTATTCTCCAAGCCCCTCTTCCAACCTCAAAAAGCTGGCAAACTCACTCGCACCTGGAAAGGGTCTTATTGCATCACCCTGGTCTCTGGTGACCATTACTCTCTGCTCCCCCTCCACGTCTCTACTAATAGGGTCCTTCACAATGTTCATGCCCACAGGCTCAAGCTTTTCCATGCACCCACAGTTCTATTGGCGATTGAGGACACTCGCCTCTAAACCCCCAGTTGTTGTGTGAAGGTCAAGATATTGTACCTCCAATAGGATGTACTGCTTGCAGTAGTAAAGGACTACTGCAAGTAGGTACATACGATTGCATAACATTCTTCTCTATTATCTTCTGTTTGTATCTCTGCCCCTTCTACTCATATAAATACCCATTACCTCTTCTCAATAAAAGATCATCTTTCTTAAGCTCAAACTTCAGTCTCATTGACTAGTTGCCTAAACTAGCCTCCAATTCAAACCTATTTATCTATAGTCATTACAAGTTTGACAAACTTTTGAGAAAATTTATCAAACATTTGTGTTTTTCATGCTCAGATTTGCTTATATGGATGATTTAAACTCCTCCAAATGTTTTACAAGGTTTTACCAAGGTCTCTAGTATCTCCTTATTTTATCCTATGGAGAGTTTGAATTTTGAAAATTTGTTGAGGTAGTGACAGGTTTTACTTTTGATAAATTCAATTAGAATTGTATTTGTTTATATCAATCAGAAATATTTTTTCTTATACTTTTAAGATCTTTTAATAATATATATTTATTATTTTTATTATTATCTCTGAGTATTCAAGTTTCTAAAATATGAAGGGTTCTCACCTCTATATTCATCCACCAACCTCACAGCATCTGCGAGTACTCTTTTTATAAGATCTGCCTTTGTTTGATCTAAGCCAGATATTGTCTTCAAAGTTTGAAGATCTTCAAAGCCGTGATGCATTATTGCAAAATAATTTGCAATTTCATCAAAGACATATATATTTCTATCTTCAGCAGTACCTCCACTCTCTAATTTCTCCTCTACTTCTTTCTCAACTTCGTTCTTGTTTGCATTTACAGCATCTTGTCAGTTTAATACCACTCTTGCTATCTCCCGTTGCTCAATGAAGCTGAATTTTGTCCCACAGTAACACTTCAACAAATGTGAATGCTTGCATGGGATCTGGCAGGTCAGAAAATTTGGGCAGGTGCAGCTTTGTATCAAGGCATTTGATATATTGATGTTATACCACTTATCTTCTGTTACAAAAGATCTTATTTGCCACTCACCATTATAATCATCTATGCTGTTACCAGACTTACCCAAAGGGTTGAGACTCATGGAAGGGAGCATGTCATTTTGGATTTTTGAAGCAACAAAAGAATTTCTTGCTAACTCATTATCAATGAGACCCATCTTACCATTGTTGAAGTGAATATGCTCAACCTCTTGCTCAAAATAGAACTTCACATCATTTGTCAAAATAAAAATCAGTCGATCCAATCTTCTGATGCGTGCATGACCAAAGTTGATTGTCTTGAGTTGATTGTGCCATGATTCTACACAGTTGTTTGTCACATATCTCTGATGTTGTTGGCTAACATATGGGCGCCCCCATCTTCGCAACAATTCTTCATTCTCGTCCATTTCTTCTCAAAATATTTCAAAAACTGAGGTTGATCCTGAACCATCAGTTTAAAATCTTCAATTTCTCTTAGGAACACATCTTCATTAGACACAATGAGAATGTGTCTCAGGTAGTTCTTCAGTGCAGTCTTATAATTCCCAAGTTGTTCTGATGTATAAGAGACATTAAGTTTAATTTTGCTGTCAAGGTTGTACTGCCAAGTGCAAAGAACATGAAAATCACAGTAGTGAATTGTAGCATGAGGTAATGCTTCTTTGATTGCATTAACCTTCATAATGCTACAGTCAATAGTGATATTCATTGGTATGAAGCTGCTCTTGATGCGAAGGTGGTCAAGCCAAAGTTTGATGGGTATGGCTGTCTGGTCGTTTGTCACCATATATGCAACAGGGAATCCCTTTCCTGTTTGAGGATGGTGAGTGACCAAAGTATATAATACTTCGTCGCTTTTGGACGAAATGGAATGGGTGGCATCAAGACAAAAAGATTACAAGATTCTCATGATTGAAACTTGCATTGGTGATTGAAATCCAAAGGCAAATTGTTTTTTACCATCATTATAAACAGAAAGATTGATTTCAAAAATGCAATAGTTTTGTTCTGCTAACTTTACATTTAACCAGATGGAAATAGATGCATTTTCACCAGAAGCAAACATATATAACAAAGTAGTCATCTATTTTATATACGAGTATTTATTTGATATATAAACATTAATTTAATATGAAAGCTCTGTTATATTCATTGACAAACCTTTCTCATTCTGTTGTAAATTTCTTCATAATTAGGCTTTCTAACGCCAACTCCCCAACTATCAATCTGTTTAAGAACTGAAATTCTTGTACTTCTACAGCTGCTGCCACTTTTCAACTGATCTTCAATAATCTTTATGGCTTCAGAAGGCAAAGAAAGAGTTCTGACTTCGTCCCAGTCTCCAGGAACATGGTTTACATGTGCCTTTGTTTGGCAAAATGTAACAACATTGGGGTTGTCGAGATGCTGTATGATTTTTAAGGCAGCTGTACAAGAGCATGCCTTCGTATCTTTCTGGGCAAGACGTAATTGGCAGTTTGTTATATATTGGTTAGCACGGTGGCATTTTTTAGTCTCTCCAAAAACTAAACCTTTTCCAGAATATTTATGCTTTTTATTCCATTTTGTTGAGCATAGGACATTGATTCGCTCCAGACACTTTTCCTATTCACTAGCTTTTACTAATATTGTTGAATTCAAAGGAAGCATCTTGATTTCTTCCAAAGACAAGTTGATCAAGACTTGTTGAATGGTGGAAATATCATAAATAGTGTTGTTTATATTGTTGTTAGACATAATTGAAGTTTGTTTTTAAGAAAGAGGGAAGGGATTATTTGTTGAAAAAAAATGCCATGTGTGGGATGCAAAAGCCACGGTCTGTCATTAAAGTTAGAAAGCCACAGGACTAAATTAAATACTATTTCAAACTCTCCGTAGAATAAAATAAGGAGATACGAGAGAAAGGTGAATATAAAAAAGATACTGAGTATTTAGAAGGGCGATTGAATATTCAACTTTACTCAGGACAGTTGAGGATAGAAAATAAATAAAGATGTTAAAGTAGAAGGTGAAGGGAGATATAAGAACAATGTCGATTTTGCTTGAGATAATCCAGACAGATAAAGCAGCAAGGCACAAGAAGGTAAAGTAGAAAAAAATAGAAATACTGCTGATTTCACTTGAGATAACCAAGACAGATAGACAGCAAGATACAAGAAGATAAAATAAAGAGGAGGTAAAAAAACACTGTTAATTTCACTCAGGACAATCACACAGATACAAAGAAACAAAAAGAGAAAAAAGAGAAAGAGGACGTTGAACAGAGATATAAGACTTTAATGCGATATATGATTGCTTTTCTATGGGTCAGGCAGAAAGCAATTCAGGGATGGTGATTTTAAGAGAGAGATAACTGATGATGTTTATTGTTGTAGAAATAGATCTCTTATATAGCTTTGAAAGATGAAAATAAAATGAAATAAAAAATATGAAAAATGAGATATTTTTTAGAGATTATAGATATGACTTATAGCATGAGAAGAGGTAATATGTAAAGGTTGGTAGACAACAATATCAAAATGGAAAAAGTGGGATAATAGAGAAGTTCGTGGAATAACTTTTTCAAAGTTGTACAGAGCACAAAGCCAAATAGGGTAACTCTTCCGAGGATTTAAACTTTTTCAAAAAAATTTATAAATGGGTTGCTTATTACTTAATTTATTCATTGGATTTTATACTGGTTTTATCCATTCAATTGGCGCCTATTTCCATCTAATTAGCATCCGTTTCCATCTAATTAGAACCCATTGACATCTGATTGGCTTCCATAGAAATTGAATTTGCATCCATTGCCAACTGAATTTGCTCCCATTGCCATCTGAATTTGCTCCCATTGCCATCTGAATTTGCTCCCCCCTTTTACTATTGGCGGAAGGGTACATGGCACTCAAATTTTTTATTCTTACGCCTTACAATTTTTTGTATATAACTGTAGTATTTTTTTTGTAAACGTCGTACTTTTTTTTTGTAAACGTCGTATTTTTTGGCATAAAACATGGATATTTTTATTAGGCATAATTAGTTGATAGAGAAATAAAACACATAATAAGAAGTAAGATATAATGAAATACAAAGTAATAAAAAAAGAAAAGCATAAAGCAGTAAAACAAATAAAAAAAAGAGGGACATAAAGTAGTAAAAAATAAAAATAAAATAAAAAAAGATATAGAGTGTAAAGAGCTTAAATAGACATAAAAGACATACTTAAAGCTTTCGCTCTCTGTTCAAACAGCAAGGAAAGAATGAAATGGCATGGTTAATCCAACCCAAACAGTCCAAAAGGGTGACAGTCTTAGCTGATTCTGTAATCCTTAAGATGAGTCCGCCTGACTCTGTAATCTCTTCTCTGTGGACACCAAACTTGATCTTGGACCACATTTCCTCAATTAGATTCAGGAAAGGTGAATATACAGGAAGATATGCACACTTGTACCCATGGGAAGAAATAAAGTTTTCACCTCATCGGCCTTATGGATAGGAGCATTATCCATGATGAGATAACGTCCTTGCATACTCTGGCTGTCCAGAACGTCCATTGTATGACTAAGAAAGTTGAGGTAGTGCTGGGCTCTGGTGCCAATTCGGCTATTCACCTCAATGTTGGTGTAGATGTCCAACTTTCTCTTCTTCTTGGTTGCGACTGCAGTGGGTTTCTTCAACAAGAGGCTAATAATCTCTCTCTCACACATTGCACCAAGGATGGTGATGGACACACCTCTCTGCATCGGGACAGTTGTCTTAGCTAGGGTGCCACTGACGGAACGGCCAAAAGTTCTCTTGATATGCATATTGAAGCCTGCTTCATCAATAAACATACAGTTTGACAGATAGTTGAAATCCGCAAGTTGTTGTCACTCCAAAATGCAGTCTCGTCTCATCTCAATTGTGCTGACATTGTCTCTCTTCTCGGGCAGCTTCTCTAACTTCTTCATTGTCAGGGCACACTTCTTCACCAAGTGCTTCTGGATTGCTGATTTGGTAATCTGCAGCCCAGAGAACTCTTCCATGACAGCTATCCTTGCTTGTTCCAAGGTAGCATCTGGTTTATTTTCGAAAAACTTCAAAAAAAAAGCAGAGTGCGCCTGGAACAACTTTTGGTTGCCATGTTTTTGTTATTTAGGCGCAGAAACCTCCTCAATCGCCATCGTCTCCAGCCCATTGGACTCATCAGTCTCCACTGTGGCAGCATCAAAATCGGCCTGGATCTTCTCTCTGGCCAGCCTGACATAGTTCTGGGCAGTCCGGACATTGATCCCTGTTTCCCTGGCAGCGGCAGCAGCAGTCTGGTTTTCTGAGAAAACCAAGGAGAAGAGCTTGTTCACCTGGTTTTGGTTGTACTTTTGGTATGAACCTCAATCTATGCTTTCTGCAGTGGGAACAGAATCAGGGTCGACCTTCTCCAGCAGATTCATCTTCGGCTTCTGTGCAACAATGGTTTTGGTAGTGGCCTTGTTGACTTCAGTTGGCAAAAAACTTCTGAGACTTAAGAGGTTCGTGACTGCTGGGTTTCCGGCCGAGGTACGGGTCCATTCCATATCAGCATGGTTGACAAAGATATATGTCACAGATCGGAGTACAACTTCTCCATGCATTTCGTCAACAATCTTTTGGTTGAAATCGCACAAGGGGTCGAAAGCAATTCCAGAAAACTGGGTTTGGTCTGCAGAACCGCTGTGACTGACCATTTCACAGTGCTTGTCCATAACAAATTCGAGGGAGTTGTTGGAAGTAGGCATTTTTTTTGAAAATAAAAAGGGTGTTAAAATCGAGAAAGAAAGATAACTGAGAAACTTTTATTAAGACACTGGGGTATATATACCAAAATTTTTTTTTTAATAACTTAAACGTTTCTACCAAGGTATAGTCTTGTCCTGTTATCTTAATATATTTGGATAAAGAACATGTTGAAGAATAATGAATGTTTACATATTAAGCTTCTTCACACTTTTAAGAACATTTATTTTATTAGCCGATTTACAATGCTACCAGAGCCTTTATGGTGTCCTGTCCTCTGTCTCGAAGGAAGGGGTGGGGTTTCTTCTCATGGGTTTGCCCAACCAAAAAAAAAAGTTTTTTTTTGTATAGAGCCAAGGAAAAGCTCGAAATTCAGTTATTGAGATTTTCAGTTTTTCAGAAATTTCTGCGGTTAGATACCATTTTATTTTCAGTTATTAAGATTTTCAGTTTTTCAGTTATTGAGACTTTCATTTTTTCAGTTATTGAGACTTTCAGTTTTTCAGTTTTTCAGTTTTTCAGAAATTATTTGCAAAAAAATGGTTATGTATATTATAAAAATTTATGAATAAAAATGCTAGTTATACTATTTGGAGAATTATTTTTAAAATTGCTATTACATTTTTCTTTTTTTTATTTTTTTTTATTTTTTTTTAATTCTTTTTTTATTTTTTTTATTTTTTTTATTTCTTTTTTTTATTTTTATTTATTTTTTCATCTCTTTTTTTTTCATCTCTTTTTTTATTTCTTTTTTTTGTTATGAGCTTGTGCTATTTTTTGTTTTTTTTGGTATTTTGTATCATGAGGGTTTCCAAAATTAAGATCGGGTAGTATTGTGGGCAAAGCATAATTCTTGAACCGCTTTCAGTTGTTTAACAGATTGTTGGACATTTACTTGTTTCGAGTGCAGATTACAAAGAGTTGTTGAGTTTGATATTAAGAAGATCAGAATTCTGACATTGTAAAATGGTTGGAGCAGGTGCTGAATAAATATAGCATTTTTGGATTCATTTTTGTAATGGTATCAGATGCTTATGTAGGACCAGGTTCATAAGAAATACAATTGTTGTGGTAGTCAATCAGATTACTGGATATTTGAGATAAAAATTGGCAAGTTTTTGTGTGGTCGGTAGAGTGAATTCTACTGTTGGATTTCGAAAAAGTATGGTTGGTGAAATGCACTTATAAGCATTATGAATATGTGTAGACTGGTTCCTATCATACAGGTATATGTTTGATCTTGTAGTTTCTTTGTAGGTAGAGGGTTGAATTGTCACGTTTTCTTTTCAGATTTATAGCTTTTGTTCAAAATACTATAGATTATTTAGAGATTAATATAAATGACTCTGAGGTATAGACTTTATTTATATACAGAAACATAATGTGATCTGGAAATAATAAAAAAATCCATGAGGTGTAGAGCTTTAAGCAGTGTTTTCATTGTCAGAGTAATATTTAGTTGTTAAAGTGAGCATGAGAATGAGATTTATTGCTGATTTAAGAAGAGAAATAAAGAGTTTGGGTATATAAACACCAAATATAAAGAGAGAGAATTATGATATCTCTTTTAAAAAAGAATGTTTATAATAAATTATGGCTGCGGGTAATATATTGTCTTATTTATTTTTTATCTCCTTGAGTTCAATTTGTACTACTTTATTTATTGGACCTTGGAATATTATTTTTTGATATAAAAAGCTGAAAATATAATGACTAATACTATTTAACAACAACTCAATCTTCTTTACATCTATTCTTGCTGCTTCAACTTGTGTTGTGATTTTTATCTTGCATCTTAAGTAATTACTATTTCATTATAACTATTATATACTAGATATAACTGTATTTATATAAAATATGTCACTTTAACATATCTTCCTATTTCTTTATTTTTTTATCTTTTATCAGAAAACTCTACAATGTTACACAAGAAACTTGAAGAATATAACAGTGCCTTTGAAAAAATTATGGAAGAGCTTGAAGAGCCTGAAAAGGCAGAAGATTCAAAAAGTTCTGCCCCGTCAACAACAGACAAAACCCCCAAAAAAAGTAGAGGGTAATATCAAAAGCCTATGGATAAAGATATAAAAAAGCTTCTTTATCTTTACTTCATAAGGGGATTAACTATTGAAAAAGCCAGCAAGATAGTAAATATGAAACAAACAACTGCTAGTGGCTATATTTTGAAGTGGAGAAAGTCTCCAGTTGTTTTTTTCATTAAAAACAACAAGGAGGCCACAAGTGACAAAAAAATGAATCTTTTATTTGAAACTTACTCTGCAATAAAGAAAGAATACAAATAATATCATTGCATTTTCAATTTTAACATAATTATTATAATGAGATACTTGCTTTATTATCTTATAACTGTAGTAAGATATTTAACTTCAACAAAGTAATCTGGAGAAAAGTTTGCATATTCTGTTAGTTCTCTCTATAGATATTTTCTATGACGTATTGTTGTAGAAAGATCTACATATATTGAAGTGCTATTACATTAGGCGTTTGGCACTTATATAAAAAATATGGCAGTTATATAAAAAATACTATGGTTATATAAAAAAATATGACGTTTACAAAAAAAAAGTACGACGTTTACAAAAAAAATACTACATTTTTATAAAAAAAATTGTAAGGCGTAAGGATAAAAAATTTGAGTGCCATGTACCCTTCCGCCAATAGTAAAAGGGGGGGAGCAAATTCAGATGGCAATGGGAGCAAATTCAGTTGGCAATGGATGCAAGTTCAATTTCTATGGAAGCCAATCAGATGTCAATGGGTTCTAATTAGATGGAAATGGATGCTAATTAGATGGAAATGGGTGCCAATTGAATGGATAAAACCAGTATTTCTTCACAGTACCTAGAAGGTGAGTTCCAAAGAATCTCTGCTGCTCTTTCAGATCCTTCAATCTTTTTAGTGTCATCCAAAAGTCATCTTATATAATTCTTTACTGTGATATACTTGCTGGTTTTGAAATAGAAGGATTGGTTCATATCACTGTTCGAAACCAATTGAGAGTTTACTTTTTCAGAAAGTAATACTAAAGTAGTGCAAAGTTGTTCATTTATTTGATCCTTGTTAGATTTGTGTACAACCAGAGACTTGGCTACTAATACATCTGGTAGAGCAGGGACTATGAAACCAAAATCAGCAAGTCTTCTGACCCTTTTGTCTTTGCTTGCTTCAAGTTTTTCCTTTGCTTTTCTCTTTTGTCTTTTTATTGAGGATGCACAGTTTCCTCTGTAAAGTGCTCGCAAGTCTTTTTTTTTGTATCAGATGTCCATGTCAAAAAGCTTTTGCTACAACAGTCAATCATCATATCTCTGTTCAAATCAAGAAGTTCCCAGTCGTTCTTCTCTACAAAATATTCTTCTGAAAGTTCATTCTCTGCAGATGTATTTTTGGTAACACTAGATATAACTGTGAATTCAGCACAAAACTTTCTACTATTGATTTGGGCATGCTTAGAGGCAATTTTATAGTAAGCACTTTTATGACCCATCTTGTAATAAAGTTTGTTTTGGGAGAAGTAAAAGAAGTGCTTTCAAGGCAATCTTAAATTAAAACTAAGTCACATAAAAAGTTTTTGTTTCTATACTCCGTCATGTTACACAATTTTACTATATTAGAGAATCAATTCTCATAGTCTGCCATAAGAAATGAATAATCTAGTGCCAATATTTCTCTTTCTCTGCTATTAAATTCAAACATCACATTTTTTCAAGACCTAAAAAGTGTTGTCAGAAATGCCAAAACTGAATATGTTTTACATTTACTTTGTTAAGAAACAGTTTCTTTACAAAGTAAATGTACAGTCAAAGCTCAATATAGTGATAATCGCAATATAGTAATAATTTTTTGAAAAATTTGGGTCCATGCCTGCTTATTATCACTATTTTTCAATATAGTGATAGTGATAAAATTTGAATCCACCAGTATCACTATATCGAGCTCTGAGTTTATTTATGTAGTATAAAAAATAAATGTAGTATTTATTTTATTTAACATATTAAAGCAAGCTCAGTTTCTTAGACAAAATATTATGAATTCTATTAGAAAACAGTAGTCACTTGTAGTGGCATTAGAAATATAACTAAATAATGTGTGAAGTAAGAAAAAAATATGCTCAATATAGTGATAGTGATAAAATTTTTGTCCACCATCCATATCACTACACTACGGCAGAGAAAATGGTAACATGTTACCACTTTGGTAACATAACTGCCATTTTTTACTTAATAAAAAATGGCAGTTATGACTCTGTATAAGGCCAAAACAGGCACTGTTACCATTTTTTACATAGTAAAAAATGGTAGTCATTTATTATGTAAAAAGCCAAAACAAGCACTGTTACCATTTTTCAAAAAAAAAATCAAGCGTCCTTCCTTTCCTCTATTATATTCTTTCTTTTGTTCTATTGCTTTCAATTCTAGCACAACCTCTTGTTTTTCCTTTGCAGCTTTAACAGAATGGTCTGTTTTTTATTATACAATATTGAATCGGGTTTAATTGAATTGAATTTTTATTTCAATGCATGTTTTATTAAATGAAAATGATAATAATAATAGTAATAATGAAAAAACAATTCCATCGGCCACTCGCAATAAAAAATGGTTCTGTTTAGCTACTGCAAAACGTATGCAGTAAAACACTACTATTCAAATTTTATTTCATATACTTTGGGTATTCTAATATATCTTAGATAGCACTTATTATTTTTTACCGATTTCTACAAATATACTAATATTGGAGAAAAAACTTAAAATAAATAAATAGATATAATATTATTATAATGCTTACCTTCATATAATATGCTTACTTGTTCAGTAAAATAAGCATTTACTCTAAGAATATATATATATATATTAAAGAATGTATTAATATTTAAGATTTATATATAAGAAAAGCAATAAAACATAAGCACTATAGAAAGTCGTTATCATAGAAGAAGAAAAACTTGAGCAAAGATTCAAGTCATGTAACATGAAGCTAATTCGAA